GGGAAAGGCTTGAAAATTTTTAATAAATGTTACAAAAGAACGAATCAAAAAATATTTCCAGGATATAAACTTAGAATCCTTTTATCATTATTTTTTGTTCCAGTATTCGTGAGACAATTCAATTACTTAATATCATATTCCGGAAATATTAGATCATTGGAAGTATAATAATTGTCTGTCATTTTTCCTCATTTTCTCTAGTCTTGCGGAAAACAAACTATAGCTAAGAGCATTCTACCAATATCGAAATATTTTCAGTTATTCAGTCATATTTTAATTTCTCATTCAAAATCTGTCAAAAATAGCGTTTACTGAAATATTCGTCAAAGAAATTATATCATAGTAAATAGGCTGTTAAACATATTTAGAATAAATCAAATATATTTAATAATTCTTTTAAACTTGTTGCTCCTTTGAGCATTAATAATTTATAATTTATTTTTCAGCAAACGTGCATGTTGACGAAAACAAATATGTTTTGTTATTGTTTTACAAGGTTTTCTCCTCTGAGTGGAAGGAGGGGGAGTAAAATATATATGTAGAACTGCTTTATATTTATGGAGTAGGATGCATTTAACAAGAGTGTTTGCGAAAACATGAATGGATAAGGGTGAACCTAAATTTAGATCTGAAAAAAGTATCAAATGCAGTGCTGAACTTGGATTTTTAAAACCTTGGATTGTACAGCGGATGTACATTTGTATATCCTCGAGTTGGGCCAACCTTTGCGGTCCTGGTTTGGACTGTTCCGCCATGTATGTCTGACTTCAGGCTGCTTGTATTTGAATTTACATTAACTGAACGTAATATCTTGCAGAATTTAAACAGGCTTCCGGAAGGCGGTTTTTCATTTCAAGCGAACAACAATATGTCTTGCATTCCAGGTATTAGGGAGACAAAAATAGTTTAAAAAAACAGACTTCAAAACTAATTTCCAAAAAAAGATTTCAAAATCAGACTTGATCTATTTGATTTTAATAGAAATAGATTAAGATTAGAAGGTGTGTTTCTATTTTCTAAATATTATTTCTGTATTATTTCTTTACTGCTGACTGGATAATTTTAGATACTAACAGAGTCGCAAAAAGATCTTTTAAAATCTTTTCATTTTTCTTTAACTAGCTTTTTGGAGTGAAAGTATAGGAGTTTTTATAGTACAAATAGTTATTTCTAAATAGTTCAAATGTTAAAGGTTATGAAAGTAAAATGTTCTCCAAAATAGAATAAATAGTGTAGGTTAAGTTCTTTGTTAAATAGTAAAAATAGTACAATTTCGTTAAAAATAGTGGAAAAAGTACTGGTTCTTTTTAATAGTACATGTAGTACAAGTTCTCCTGAAATAGTTAAAATAGTACAATTTCGTTAAAAATAGTGGAAAAAGTACTGGTTCTTTTTAATAGTACATGTAGTACAAGTTCTCCTGAAATAGTTAAAATAGTACAATTTCGTTAAAAATAGTGGAAAAAGTACTGGTTCTTTTTAATAGTACATGTAGTACAAGTTCTCCTGAAATAGTTAAAATAGTGCAAACTGCATGAGATAGCCCCACATTACTTACATGAAAGGAAGAACAAAAACTGACAGTGACAGCGACCCTACATGTGGTGTGTTCGTTTCAGAAACGGTTCCCATCAAAGGAAGAGACAGGCTATGTAATTTATATTTCAGCAGAAAGTGCAGTATTTTAGAGAAAAACCTTAGGATTTCTTTGATACCATATGAGAGATTTTACGGTGTACAATGTTTAAATAAGAGCGTAAAGTCATTTGTAATATTTTACCAGTTGTTTCAGCCAGCACAGGAAACGTTTTTTACAATTATTTAATAACCCAGACAAAACATGTAAAAAAATCATTTATAAACTTATTTGCTGTTAATGGTTTATATTTAATAAAAGAAACTATCGATGAAAGCCAAAGCAGAACTGTAGAATCGATAATTTCTTTACCAATGTTACCTTTGCTGTTTCTATATTTTTTTTTCGCCGTTTTCTTCAAAATGTCGTCTTCAAAATTAAAAAAAAGAAAACCTCCAACAAACTACCCTAGCTGCAAGTTTTAACAATGAATTTTGATAACTTATTTCCAATGATAGATGTTAATTATTTTTCTCAACCTGTTTGTAAACATGTAACTAGTGTGTAGAATAGTATTTATTACATGTTTTGTCCTTGTTATTTAAGAATTGAAAAACAAAGGTTCTTTTGAAACAACAGGTGAAATATTGCAAACAACTTTATGCTCTTATTAAAGAATTATACACAGTTAAAATGTCTAATTGGTATCAAATTTTCAATCCTGAAGTTTTTCTACTAAAAATACTGCACTTTCAGCTCAAATATATTACATAGCCGGTCTCTCCCTTTAAAGTATCATTTAATGACGAAGAATATCTTTAAAATAAAAACTAAGTTGACATTATCGGTATAATCCTTTAATGAACTTGAAACGAATTGAAATGCATTAACTTCCAAGTCAAGTGTTAGATAAACTTTAATATAGATCTGAATAGAAAATATTTCCTAAAAAAGAAAACCTTACCGAATTATTCGAATGACTATTTTTATATTCCATTTTCAACTTAATATTTGACAGTGAACATTTTATTTGATATTAAATTTTAAATGCAAAGCATGATCTGAATTCTAAATTCTAAATTCTGAATTCCAATCTGGAGATTTTGGTTTCTGCCCAGCACCTGCACTTGACAACTTTTTCATGGACTTATTTTCCATGTAATCGATCCTAACCTTAGATCCGAAAAATTAAACATTTTCTTTTCAATACAAATCTTTAAAAAAAATATTGAATATATTTTGGGTCCTCCAAGAAATATATAGACCAGGAACCGCCATATCTCATGCGTCAAATCTGTGTACTGCAGTAGGAGGAGATCAAAACAAAGAATTCATGGGCAACGCATATTTTTTGAGGGAAAAGGGCCCAAGGGGTGGAATAAAAATATATTGCTATTGAATTTTCCATATTGACCAGAAAGCCAAAAAACATATGTATTCGCTCTTACTTGATATATTAACTTGTTTTTTTTGATGGACTGCTATATCACATCAGAGCTTTAGTCCTTTCCCTTCAACTTCTGTTGGGGCACTGGGTTTGTTTACATTCCTCCCACAGCTCAGTGTACAGTTCACAATTTGCGTATATCTGAGTTGGGGTTCGTAGTTCCTTGGGTTCCTCCCAGAATCTAGTTTTTACTATCGCAACGAAAACAAATCAAGGTCGGTTTAATCCTAATCGGACCTAATTCCTGAAGTCGTATTACGTGACACAGGCTGTCGGGTCTAGATTCTAGAATGATGTTTCAGACTCGATTTTAGAGTTTCAGAGACATTAAGAGTCCAATCTTAATTGATCAGTCTCAATTCAAACCACTGAAAATTGAGTAAATTTTATGATGATGAAAAAACTCTCCACTGTGCTGCTTAATTTGAAGGTAGATAGAAAATGATATAATGACAAATGACAAATGATAATACAATTTTTTGTTTTCATTGCGCAACAATACATGCCAGAAATTGGATTAATGGATAAAATTATATTTTTAAATAATTATTTCCAACAAAAAATAATTAATGGTTGTTCATATAAAAATTGCACACGGGGAAGGGAGGAGTTGGGTTTCACCTCGAAATGTTCTTGAATAAAAAAACTAATGCATTATTGACGCAAATTCTTTGCAACTTAATCTATAAAATAATCGATAAACTTTCTCTAACTTCTCTCCAATAATTCAGGGAGGATTTTACACGGAAGTTTTTTAACACTTTCTCATCATTTTATCATCTTTTTATTCAAAACTCAATACAACACACTGTATTTCCACCAGCCAAAACAAAACTCAATACAACACACTGTATTTCCACCAGCCAAAACAAAACTTCTTTGTAATTAAGTATTTCTGATTTAAAAAGGCAGTTTAACTTCCTTCGTGGTTATTTTATTTCTCTACTATCTTGAAAACCCAGCGTTGCCCTGGGTACTCCCGCCGTTTACCCGCGCTTGGTCGTAAACTACGAGAAAAGTTGACCCACTCAACTTAGAATCTGAAAACCAAGCCAACTGTGTTTCTCTTGAATTCCCAACCCAAATTTTAGGCAAATAGGTCCCAAGATAGTAGATTGGACAGGATATCGTGAACGTACCGTCGAGTGAACCTACCACCTGAGAACAGAACTTTTCCTTCCGTGTATAAGAATGATATTAATCACCGAGATCGTACTGAATATTTGATTATTTACATACCATATCATATTAGATCGTCAATCGGTCTAAATTACAATTTTCGGGACTAGTCAGAAAATTTAAGAAGAATGAATCATTTTGAAAAATTGAATAAGGCTAATATAAAATACTAGTTTTATCTAGTATGTTCATTTAATTTTGGCGTTAAAGCTTGGAGATAATTAATATGATATGGTACGCTCTGTAGTATACAGTTGTAAGTGTACAGAGTACAGGTTAATAGGCTGGCAGGTAGACAAATATTCACCTCCCTGTCTGTACACCTTTGTCTGATTGTCTGATGTGGCAAATATTGTCGTTTTTCTATCTTGAAAAGTGTTTAATTCTCACAATCTTTCCATATTGTTTTCTGATTTTGAATCAGACATGCGCATTGCACAAGTCAAGTCAAGAAAAGTCACAATTAAGGATAATTTACATTTAAGAAAAGATACCACGTGCATTCTTGATCAGACAAAGCTTTTCCGGGTACCGTTCTCAATCGGACATGCCGTTTCTAAATTGGAGATTCGCTTTAAATTCCGTCTACAGTCCTTTTAACTTAACCTCTGATTTTGTATATCACTGTTAGAATTAAGATTGATTACTTCTTTAAAGTTAACAAATTATTGACAAAAGCATTTGTACCATCAAGCTTTTTATCCAACCCTAATCAATTATTATTAAGCTTGATTTAGTTGAAATGAATTAATCCTGTCACGTAGCATGTTTAAATTTTCCATATTTTCATATTTTCAGGTCTTTTCCCGACGTACTTTCTTCACCTTGAGAGAGAGGAAGGTCGACCTGTATTCCTGCTTGCAGCCAGGTAATCTAAGCAATACTTACATAAGGATGGACCATTCAGTACTCTTCGTTTTTAAATAACTGATAACTCTTCTAAAACTAATCTTTGTATTTCCGCATCTTAATGTCGTAGACCTGATATATTAAACTTTAAATCATGTAAGATCATTCAGATAAAGTTTAATAAAGTATCAAATGTTTACTCCAACAGGTTGCAGCGATAATTAATGATCAATAGTTTCTGTAAACATATTTTTAAAGAAAAATCAGCTTAGTAAGTAAGTAAATAATTATTTATTTATGAAATACAACAAAAACATACAAAATTAAGTGTTTCAGGAGAAAATACTTCAAAACCTCCAAAAATGAGGTTGTGGGAATACTTACCCCCCAATTCTAAAAAAATATAAATAAAAGGATAAGGAAAGAAAATGAAAGAAAATGGAAAAAAAATGTTAGGAAAAAAGACTTCGATTTTTTTTAGCTTATTTTCATGAGCGTTCACAAAAAAAATTCAGCTTATTCGGCAACATATATATATATATATGAATGTCTTAGGACAATAAAAATCATTTTTGTTTCTAAGATTTGCTTTTTTGATATGTTTTTGATAATATGAAATCTTTTTTAAATGTTGGGGGTAATTGATCTTCTTTAAACTTAAATAAAAATTTTATAACATTAAAAGTACCTAATTTTCTGAAGGGGAGCCCAAAAAGCTTCCGCTGTGTGACTTATTCTAGGTAACCCCGTCAATGGGCAAATTGATTTCTTTTGCAATGATTCTATCAATATGTTTGTTTGAAGTTAGCATTAGGAATGTTGAACTATATTCTATATGAGAGTGGAAAAGGAGTAATAAAGCAGTTTCATGGTTTCAAAGTATAAAAAGTTTTAAATTTTTTCATATCATAAAGTCAAAAAGTTAATCGCCTGTATATCTTATTAAAATAGTCATTAAAGTTCAATTTAGTATCCAGCCATATTCCCAAATATCTAACCGAATCCATTTCTTCTATGCGTTCAATTTTTTGCGTAGTTTCTCCTAGTTTAAAGAAAACAGTAAACAGCTTAGACTTGATCCTTGAACAAGATCCATCTCTAATATCTAAGTCTACGAAGGTACCATTTATATTGACTATTTGCCCCCTGCCGCGTAAGTAAGTTTCAAACCACAGTAATGTGTTGCCCTTGATTCCTGCATTTTCAAGCCTTTTCAAAAGTATCTTGTGTTTAATACAGTCGTAAGCTTTAGAAATATCTAGCATGATAAGTAAAACAGATTCATTATTATTTAGTACGCTGAAAATATAGTTTAAAAGTTTAGTAATTGCTTGCATTGCATAACATTATGTCCTGACAAAAAACAAAACAAATTGATTTGCTTTAAAAAAGTTATTATTCTTAAAAAAGGAAAACATTCTTTTATGCAGAATTTTTTCTAATATTTATGAAAAATAGAATAAAATCATAGTTTTTGTGCTGTCAATAGTAGTAGTTCCTTTTATCATGAATTGGTTTAGGGGTATCTTTCTTTCATTTTTGCTATTTTTTTCAAAATTCATAAAAAAATTTTGATTAAATTCTATTGCCGCCATCTCTGCGGTTTGAGATAAAAATACATTATTCCAGTTTTGAAAGATTTTATATTATAGTTATTATATATATTATAGTTATAGTTATGGCATTTATAAAAAATAATAATTATGATGGTCCAGCTAAAAACAAATAACAAAAGAAAATTTAATATGAGCCAATTGAAAATATTGTAATTTTTTTCTGATTGATATTTGTTGAAACAAACTATTCATGTTAAAATCTCAAGTGAATATACATTCATTGTGCATTTACAAGTAGATACTTAGTCAGCACTCAGATAATCAAAACATTTACAGGACTGCATTCATTCAACTTATAAATACACATTGATTCAGCAAAAGTAGCAATGTATTCTTTTTGACTGCAGTAGACTTTGACATCTACCATTAGCAGAGGGTGTGAACCCATACTCGTTGACTGCAGTAGACTTTGACATCCACCATTAGCAAAGGGTGTGAACCCATACTCGTTGACTGTAGTAGACTTTGACATCTACCATTAGCAAAGGGTGTGAACCCATACTCGTTGACTGCAGTAGACTTTGACATCCATCATTAGCAAAGGGTGTGAACCTATACTCGTTGACGGCACTAGACTTTGACATCTACCATTACCAAAGGGTGTGAACCCATACTCCTTGACTGCATAAAGGTTACATGTTCCTTTGAGATTTTTAAATTTTTTTGTGTGTTTTAAATAAAGAATACTTGGTAGAAATATTGTATTTTTGTCTGAAATCGGTCGGATTTTTGGAAATTGTTTGTAGCTTTTGGGATATCATTAGTTATAATATGGTCTAGAAGTGCAAAACTTGGTATTTTTACAAATCGCGAGGCCAGTAAAGGAACTGAGTTTTTGCCACAAACTCAACTATTCTTATCCCTATATCTTCGCAACCCAATGTGGTAGACCTTAGATATTTCAAACTATTAATTCTGTTAGATCAAATAATCAAAGTTTGAAATTTCAAAGGTTTATATTTACTGATTGCAGAGATATAGAAATAAGAAAATTTGAGGTTGTGGCAAAAACTCAATTCCTTTACAGGGAAAAAGCCTGAAGACAATATATGCATAGTATACTCATTGTCAACATCATTGTTTTGCTGAAGAAGATCCATGTTAGTGTCTGAGAAAATATAGGATTTCCAATCGCTTTTATTGCAAATTTCTAAAAAAAGATAATAACTCGTTAAAAAAATGGTTCAAAGTGATTTGATGTATTATTGATACTGAAATATTTGTGAGATTTCTAATTAAATCCAATTAAAACTGAGACATTTTAAAGTTGTATTTCTATTAAAATCGACTCAAAAGTGAAAGTATTTTGTCTAACTAAGCCAGGTATCAATTTTGGATGTTTCTTTTGATGGTTCTCGTTCGAAATCTTAAAGAAAAAGTTAGGTATAGAGACTTCCCGTATTTCTTGTCAAACTAAAACTGATACATTACCTCCTGATTGTTCGATTCTATCAAGAATTTTTTTAATTTTTCAAATTTTGATAACAGACTTTTAATGTTTAAACTAAGGGCATTTAATCCGCTAAAAATTCTAATGTTTGATGCGAAATTGTTTTCGCTTTGGTTTGTATTTTTAAGCTCAATGTTTGCAAATAAATCGGGACCCATATTTGTTGAATCTATCGATAATCATTGTAATTAAGAGTGTATTGCTCGTTTTTATTAAGGGAACCTATATAATTTTTCACATCTTCAAGATCATCGTAGTCGTTTTTGATTCAATTTAGAATTAACTAAGTTGTAATGTCTTTGTCGAAATATGCATATAATCCACCAAAAAGGGTTGAAAGGAGATAGGATAGGATATGAAGAGGATGGAATTGTGTAAGTGATAGGAAAAAAACTGTGTGGCATATTGATACACATGCTCAAATAGGAATAGGTTTTATTAGAAAAAATTAACAATTAATCTTTGGTTTAGAAAGAAATCAGGAGAGAAATTGAAAAAGTAAATAATATCTTATTTTATATTATAACAGGTAGGGATGTTTATCTTGTAAGGAGCTCTAAATGTAATAAAAAAATCGTGAACTAAATTACGTTGACGTTTCCTTTAAACACTATTTATTTTATTACTGTTTATATAAACTTCCTTTAGATAAAAATTTTGTAGGAAAAGAAGAAAACTTGGAAGTTCGAGTTATCTGATATCCACAGATCCTACAGATATATCACGGTTAGTATCTGATATCCACAGATCCTACAGATATATCAAGGTTAGTATCTGATATCCACAGATCCTGCAGATATATCACGGTTAGTATATATCCACAGATCCTACAGATATATCACGGTAAGTATCTGATATCCACAGATCCTACAGATATATCAAGGTTAGTATCTGATATCCACAGATCCTACAGATAGCTCACGGTTAGTATCTTACCACTACAATCTAATGAGGAAAATATGCGGAACTATTGGTAAAACTTTACGACTTGTAACTTCTGTAGCTTTTGTTTCACACTGAAGAGTAGAAAAAGAAAACAAGATTAAAATTTAAAATGAAAGGAAATAATTACTTCCCTCAAACTCCTATTTTTTCATCCCTATATCTCTGGGTCTTTATGGTGTAAACCTTTGCTATTTTAACCACATTTTATGGTTTAAAATAAAACAATCAAGCATTAAATATTAGAATTTGAGGCTGCAGTAATCTGATACAGATGAAATATATACAAACTCTAAAAAAATCATGAGCTCATTTAAAATTACGTTGAGTATCCCTTTAACATGTATTTGGTATTATTTGAAGTTGCAATCTCGAAAATTTCAAATTCACTACATTTTGTAAAATAAATTTGAGAACCCGTCCTTGAATCTACATTTTGTAAAATAAATTTTAGAACCCGTCCTTGAATCTAAGGCTCAGGAAATTCTTCCGAATTCAGCAAAATCAAAATGTTGAAATTGTGACAAATGTATCTTGTACTAAAAATATAAATGTATCCAATAAAAAAAAGTTTTTTTCTTATTGAATTTATATATATGTATATATATATATATATATATATATATATATAGCTTTCACGGAACCACTTAAAAAGGTTATAATTAATTAATGAGATATAATGTGTACACTGTATAGTTGTTGACTTTAAAAGTCATAATATTAAAACAAAAGAGATCTAAAAGGATATTTCTTAACATTTATTTAAAAAACGAAAGTGTTTTGAAATATTTTCCCAAGACAGGGTTGGAAATTGATCGGCTTAGAAATTAACAAAGAAAACTATTGACGAACATCAGTAGAACATCATGGGAGCTTTGTAGAACTTCATGTTGGTGCTGCAGATCAACTAGAACTGGAACAGTAGGTTTCCGCTCTCTCCAGGCTTTACCTATCATTTTAGGGGGGAGAGTTCTCGGTCGTATCATCTTAGGGTTGAGGGTACTCTGGGAACAATTTTTGTGCTGGATGTAGGCATCGTCTGCCGCTGTTTAGACATCAGTATCATCATCATGAAGGAGCCAGGGTTACTCTCCTAAGACGGGCTGTTAACATCTCGAACGTTTTCTCTGACCGAGGGCCGGGAGGTGTAGAGAGGGTGGGCGAGGGTGAGATTCGAGCCACTGCAAACGGAAAAGGATTCACATCTTGAAACAAATAGCGGCATACAGACTACACAGAATAATCTTCCTCATATTTCGAATTTGTTTTAACGTAAAAATCAATTTAAAGCAAATATACAAATTAAACTTTTTCTGAATTTCTTTTGTTTAATGATATCATAAACCCTGGAGGATAAATTAAACATTTAATAATTCATATTTTGAAAAATAAAGTTTTCAATTTTATTTTTCACAAAAACAAACAATATTCATCAGAGGAATTGAAAAAATTTCAATGAAACTAGAATGTCAGAAACCAAAAAAAAATGAGAATCTCAATTCCAGCATTTTTTCATGTCCAAAGAATTTGATAGAAAGTGATGCCTTATTTTGAGAACAACATTTCTCAAGGTAGTACTGGAAACTAACCTTGGTTCTTTTTACATGTTTTTTCTATTTATTTCCAAGATTATGCTAAACTTTTTTGATATTTGCTGAACCCTTTATGTTGAAAAGTGAACCTGGCAAAGATTTCTAACACTGGCTCTGGCTGCAGTGTAACGTTTTTTATAACAATTGTGCACAAAGAGTAAATGATACAGAAATAAAATTAATTTTGGCTGTATATATTAGTACATTATTATAAGTACTATTGTTATAAACTGGTAAACATTATCCAAATTTATAAAAAAAAAAATCTCTAAATACTTTTGGTTTGTTTGTATTCTTGTTTTTTTTTGTATTCAATTAAAGTAAAAACGACTGAATTGATACGGCTCTATTTTTGTAGAGCCTCACTTGATCTCAGAGAAAGTTTATGACCGGCCAGCATTAAGAAAACCTTGAATCCAACTAATTTTAAAAACACACCAATGAAAATCAACGCATTTTTTGCATAAAAAATGGTTAAATAACATTAAAATTAACGATAAACGCTGTATAAAGGTTTGTTTAATATATTCTAATTGTAGTTTTACTGCAGGGAGGGTGAATCTGTAGTTGGTAAACTAAGATCAAATATCCTGGGAGCCAGGTTTACGCTGGTAGGTGGAGCAGGCAAATCAAGAACTAGGTCACAGAGCAGTGACAGGAGTAGCAGCGAGTGCAGTGGGTCAGGTCAGGAACCTTATCATTAGCCTCAAACTATTTTTTTCTTCAAATTTTGATATCCTTTCAACCTAATGTTGTAGACTTAGATACTTTAAATATTAAATTACATGTCTAAGCTTGAAATATCACATGTTTCCACCGTTACTCTGTTGAAAAATATGTATATAGATAAAAAATGTGAATTTGTTGCGAGTGTTAAGTAAATTCACACCAATGTAAAAAGCCTTTAGAAAATATAAAGCAAGTTCTATTAGTTTACAATTATTTTTAACAAGTACTATTTGTTTACAATTATATAGAACAAGTTCTATTTGTTTACAATTATATAGAACAAGTTCTATTTGTTTACAATTATATAGAACAAGTTCTATTTGTTTACAATTATATAGAACAAGTCCTTTTTGTTTACAATTATATAGAACAAGTTCTATTTGTTTACAATTATATAGAACAAGCACTATTTGTTTACAATTATATAGAACAAGTACTTTTTGTTTACAATTTTATATAACAAATTCTATTTGTTTACAAATATATGTAACAAGTTCTATTTGTAACAGGCTCTATTTGTTTACATATATTTATAACAAGTTCTATTTGTTTACCTTTATATATAACAAGTTCTATTGTTTACAATAGAATGGATTCAATTACTTCCTTTCATCTTTGCGATGGAAAGCACTTTTCCTTGCGATGAAAAGCACTTATCGAATTTAACAACTTTATGCATTCTTCATTGTTTATATTTAGATGTTTGTTGTTGTCAGCATGCCAGTACACTTGCTGAAGTACAGTATGAGCTAGATATACTAGGTGTAAAGGGACCCAGGGAGGAACAAAATGATATAAATAAAAAACTTATCAAATTTTCATCAAAATCAATTTCAAGTAAAAGTTTTTTATTTGGGGGGGGGGGGGCGATTAAACTCAACAGAAGTCAAATGACATGAAATGCTAAATACTTTTTGTTACAATTATTGAAATTTTTTTATCAATTTATTTCTTTATTTATATGATATGTTATGAGTAGAAGAATGAAGGTTGGACTACCAACTTTAGCTCAGGGGCGCCTTATGCTTACCGACCCTCCTGCTCAGGGGCGCCTAATAGCTGAACCAAAAAGAGTTAATTTGCTTCCAATGCCCCTGAGAAACACAAACAAAACTGACCTGGTGCTGAAAAGTAAAAAGGAAAAAACCAGATCTGGAATATTTGAACAGTTTTGAACAAATTTAAAAAATGTTTGAACAGTTTTTGAACAGTTCTGAACAGTTGTAAACAAGTTTGAACAGTTTTGAACAGTTTAATAAAGATTTGAACAGCTTTGAACAGTTTTAATAGTTTCTGCGCAACAACGAACGGATTTTGAACCGTTTTTATAGGTTTTGTACATTTCACGTAACAAATTACTTTTCTACCTACTGGTAAAATGTGTTACTGTACAACAACATTTAAAACACTTAAATGTTGACTTCCTATTCCACATTTTTTGGGGTCCCACTGTACTTTTTATATGAATAGATTGCAATTAAAAATGTTTTAAAATGCTTTATTAAACCTGCTAATAAATTTGTTTGTAGGGTTAGTTCCATAATAGTTTTTTAAATTCTGGTTTACCTGCAGGCTACTTGGGACCCTCAGATAAGCAGCTATGTACTGAATTTCTATGGCAGAGCAAGTCAGGTTAATTTATATACAATTCAGAAATTACTTAATTTAATGCAGAGCTGAAGAGGGCAAAGCATATTGATTAAAATGATTATTTATGACTGTAAAATAAAAAGAAAAGGTTTTAGATCGGGTTTTCAGATGATTTTAGTCTTCAAAATTTAAAAATTAAGACTCTTTGTTGAATAACATGCAAAGTGTAAAAATTGAAAGGTATGTTTATTTCAACCTTAAAACTTTTTAGATTTTTTAACCAAAGAAAATCAATGTTTAATTGGCCGAAAATGACAACTAATTAAATCTGAGTCTTAAACTTTTGCTCGAAGTAAATTTTATCTAAACATTGGAAACTAATTTATGGGCTGATGAAATGAAAATTTTATACTAAAATTTAAGCTTATCTTGTTTCATCCATAGAAAAGCATATGGCTCATATCACAAAATCTTACTATGTATTCAATTCAAGAGGATCATTGTTTATAAAGATGGTTACTCGTATTATAGAGTGTATATCTTGCAACCTGTTGTTGTTGACCTTTTCTTTTTCAAACTTTAACCACATAAAGCTCATTAATATGGATACATCGGAATTCTTTTTAAATGTCGTCTTTATAATTTTTCACTTGGTTATGCCGCTGAGAATTATATGATATATTGCGCTGCGCCCAACTTTAAGAAGCTGTTGGATAATATCTGTCCCGTATTTCAGGGTTTTTATAACTTTTCAAAAAATAAATTTTGAAATCTTTGATTCCCGATAAAAAAACTTTGACTCTCAACACAGAAATTTTGAATATGCTTTAGTAAACTATCATATCCCTGTGACGCTCCTGAAGCCGAACTTAAGAGATTGTTTTACCATGGTTAATTTTCTACTGTAGTTAAAAATATGGTTTGGTTTGGCTATAAGAAGATTTTAGGTCCATTTTGACTTTAGTTCCTTCCAAGAGTCTAGAAAATAGAGTAGCCATATGTGTATCCAATCAGAGAGAAAATTGAAATAAATCAGTGGTTTTGAAGAAAATATCAGAGAGTACTGAGTAACTCTTTCTTTTTTTGAGAAAAAAAATAATGTTAAAAAGTAGAGATATTAAAGAAAAAGTTTGATTGAGTTGAAAAAAATTATCAAAAATGTTTTGGCCAACATTTTATTTGAGAAATGAAAAATAGTTTTTTATTACAAATGACATCACAAAATTAGATTACCCCTTTCTATTAAATTAACTTTTTGATTTTAAAAACTACTTTTTTCCTTAAAAAATGCAATAACTTTGATGAGAAGTGACAATCATTTGTACATTTTTGTACAAAGATTATTTTGACATCAAGAAACTTCAATCTAAAACTACTAAGCGCGTCCATTTAACCATGGATAAACCCACTTTAACGCTAGGTAGACCTAGGGTTAAAAATCCGAGCTACGCTGATGCCGCAAACTATTACGATGATCTTACCCAGGCCATGGTTCAAGTTAGCCATGGTTAAAAAATCTGTCGTCTTCGATCAGTTTACCATGGTTAGAATCTGATTTAACCATGGTTAGAATCTGATTTAATCATGGTTAAAATGTCTGAAGTTCGGTCTCTGGTAGAAAACTTTGACAGCATAGGAAAATACAACTGACACTTTAAAATACAAATTCAAGGCGACATTATTCCGATGTATTCATGTTAATGAGTTTTACTGAAGCAGAAGTGATTTATTATTTCAAATTTTGTGTTTGAAATAAATACTATATAACCGTAATTGTTTTAAACTTGAAAGGTCTTCGACAGCAGATTGACAAAATATAAGAAACAAATCAGTTTCTCTACATTTCAAAACTTAGATCCCAACCCCCATACCCATCTATGATATAGGGTAGTTAGCAATATTTTTCAACAACACCTAGCTCAGCATATTTAAGTATATTATTATTATTACTATTTTTAGGCTTCAGTTAAAAATTTCCAGTTAATCCACGAATCTCAGCCTGACGTTATTCTTCTACAATTTGGCAAAATATCTGAGGAAAAGTTTATTCTTGACATCAGGTACAATTAAAATAAAATGATAAGTTGCCATTTGTGAGGGGGGAGGAGGGGGGGATTAATGTATTTTATTTCTGGACCTTAGAGTGTAGTTTGTCTTTGTCCAGTGTCTTTTTTACAGTCTTCAACAGTTTTTACAGTCTTCAGAGTCCATGTAGAACCAGTATAGTACATGTAGAACCAGGAATTCATGTAGAACCAGTAGTACATGTAGAACCAGGAGTTCATGTAGAACCAGGAGTTCATGTAGAACCAGGAGTTCATGTTGAATCAGGAGTTCATGTAGAAACAGTAGTACATGTAGAACCAGAAGTTCATGTAAAAACAGTAGTACATGTAGAAACAGTAGTTCATGTAAAAACGGTAGTTCATGTAGAAACAGTAGTTCATGTAGAACAAGGGTTTCATGTAGAACCAGGAGTTCATGTAGAACCAGTAGTTCATGTAGAACCAGTAGTTCATGCAGAATAAGTAGTTCATGTAGAACTAGATGTTTATGTAGAACCTGTAGTTCATGTATAACTAGCAGTTCATATAGAACCAGGAGTTAATGTAGAACCAGGAGTTCATGTAGAAATAGTAGTTCATGTAGAACAAGGGGTTCATGTAGAACCAGGAGTTCATGTAGAACCAATAGTTCATGTCGGAACAGTAGTTAATGTAGAATAAGTAGTTCATGTAGAACTAGATGTTTTGTATAACCAGTAGTTCATATAGAACCAGGAGTTCATGTAGAACCTGAAGTTCATGTAGAATCAGAAGTTAATGTAGAACCAGTGGTTCATGTAGAACCAGTAGTTAATGTAAAACCAGTAGTTTATGTAGAACAAGGAGTTAATGTAGAACCAGTAGTTCATGTAGAACCAATATCTCATAAAAAGGCAGAAGAGGCTTAGCAATCAGTCATGGAGAAAATAGATTTTTACTTTTATATGAGTTATTTTTGTGAGGACAAAGTTTATTACGGCCGCGTAGAAATTTCATTATTTTAATATAAAACGTTATTTTAAAATCAACATCTTGTGAAAATCATGAAGGATCTCAGAAAAAATCATCATCTTTCATAATAAAAATACAGTAAATAAGAATTTAACCAGAATCAAAGATTTTCAAAAGTTTGGATAAACGAGTTTTAACGATAATTTAACAAATAACGATCGACCCTTTTTTTACCCATTTGGTTGAGAAGGTCATTTTTTACTATACCAGAGTTTCTGAAATAAAACATTTGTCTTGCAGTTAAAGTGAACCATCATCAATGATCTGAAATTGTTATTAAACGCTTTAATTCGTCAACAATAAGTTAAAAAAAATCGATTTTTTGTAAAAAATTACGAAATTTACGATAATTTCGAAAAGATTGAAATTGGAAAACTATATTTTGAATGGAAAAACACGTGTTGAGTACACGTGAATTTCCATCTGAAATGCGTTCCTTTTAAACAAACTATAAACGTATTTAATGCATCTTATAATGGGTCAGTGGTAACGGTAAGATGAGTAAAACTTTGTCTGTATCTTCCAGCTCTAAATAATAAATGAATGTATGATTATGTACTGGAAATATTAAGATCTATGAATAGATTAATGAGGAATGATCTATATAAACTATTTAATGTATAACACGCATCCATACTTTACCATACTAATACAATATATAATTTGGTTGCTTTAATTTGAATTCAATAGCGCTTTCGTCTATAATTTTTTTTATATTTTTTTAAAACTGAACTGCCGACAAAATAATATTACAGAGAAAAAGAAAAAAAAAATTTGGTATAATGTGAATTAAAATATCATATATCATATATTTAAATGTTTCAAATTTTGATAAAATTTTTATTTTTATTCAATGACAAAATTAATAATGATAGCTTAAATTGTTTGTTAAGTTGTAATCTCTGTTTGTCTGTTTGTTTGGTTGTCCGATCATAACTCAGGAACCCATGGAACGATTTGCCTCAAATTTTGATTGGGGAACTCGCGAGACCCGAGGGAATGTTCAAATAGCTTGGTTTTGAGATTCTAGCGAAAATTTAGTTTCTCGGTAAACTCGTTTAAGTGCTGGTAAACGGCGGTTGTAACAGCTGGTGTATTATAATATGTATCCCGCTGTCTATATATAAATTTGGCTTGTCTGTCTGTTTGTTTGTTTGTTTGTATCCAATAAACGTCAAAACGGCTGAACCGATCGGGCCCAAATTTTTTGTGGGACATCTAGGGACTCCAGGGAAGGTTTATGAATCATCAAAATTTCAAATATTTGTCTCCATCAAAATTCGATCGTCATTAAATTTTTTAAAATTTTGAAAATCCGCGAATTTTTTTGTGAAAATCCGCGAACTATTTTTGTTTTGTTTTACGATGTACACAAAGAGAACATGTTCACAATTAATTTAGGAGATGGGCGCGAAGCGCCCTCTAAGGCTAGAAAGAAGGGCGCGAAGCGCCTTGAATTTCTAGTATGTTTAAAAAGGAGTTTAAATCTTATTTCATATTAGTGTCTGTCTGTTCGTATACGTGGTACGAGGTTCTAGATGGAGTCAGAAAAAAATTTCATTAAAAAATAAAAAAATTAATTTATTAATGTTTTCGTATATTTCAGGTTCCCTTTGAGCGCAATCCAGGCCTTTGGAATCGCATTGTCTAGCTTTGACTGTAAAATTGCTTGTGAATAATATTTAAATTAATAAATACAAATATAATTTTACAAACTTTAATTTTATTTCTGTGGCCAAATTTTTATTGAAAAGAAAAAATCCAATTAAAACAGAAGTCAAATGTCAAAATGTCAAAAAAAATATAAATATATTATATCTACTTATATACTTTGTTTGTCTGTCTGTCATGAGTTAATCATGGCGCCATTTTTTAATGGATCACCATGTGATTCTCCCATAAACTATTGTTGCCTTGTTCCTAATATATATATTTACGGATAAATTTCTATTTTGTTTTCAAAAGAAAATCTATTTACCTTTAAATTGAATCCTGTAACCATGAACTCGAAAACCTTGGAATTCAGATTTCAATATATCTTAGGCTTTGGAAAAGAAACCCTTCTCGGAATATTTAGATGAAAGCGGGGTGAAAAAGAAAAGTTCTTAGTTGCTGAAACATTTTGTTTTAGTGAATTTTATTTGATATTCTTTTTTTTTGTATATCTTCGGGGAACATGTTCTTTCCAAACCCGAAGATTTTAGTTTTATTTCTGACCCTTTCCTGACATTGTACTTTAAACCCTGGGATCCTGGTATTGTGCTTTAAACCCTGGGATCCGGGTATTGTACTTTAAACCCTGGGATCCTGGTATTGTACTTTAAACCCTGGGATCCAGAGTCTAAAACTATAGAATACGCGAAATTAAAATTAATAAATAATGAACCAAGCAGGGAACTTTAGAATGGTGGATATCGAGATCAATGCTTAATCCTCTCTTTTTTTTCTTAATTTAGAGACTAACTAATTTTTTAAAATTCAATCAATATCTTTGAGCTATGGGAAGAGGGGACTCTATAAGTTTGAAACCCCGGTTTTTGATTTTCTGTACTATATCCAAAAAAGAGTGGATTAAGCAAGAAATTAAAAGTGTCCACATTGGATATTCGGATTAAAGGTTTCCAATTCCAGTTCCCAGCTCCGATCAGATTACGGGGATTACAGATATTACGGATCGACAGAGATTATGAAACATCAGCTGTTTCGTAATTTCAATTTCTTTACAAAACTGCAGTGCGAATAATAACAAAAATATTTCTTATTAGATAGACGATGTATCTATTTTACCTCGGATGACGAAAAAAGATTTAAAACTTAAATCGTCAGATTAAATCATCGTCATGCATTGAAATATCGCAAAATTTAATGCGGGTATGTTCGGGTTTAAAATTTAACTCGCCAAAATCAACGAGTTAAATATTTAAGTTGTGTAGCTCAAAATTCTGGTTCAAATTAAGTCAGAATAAGCATTTAAGCTGAAACTTAACCCTGGGATTCTGGAATTGCACTTTAAACCCTGGGATCCTGACATTGTACTTTAAACCCTGGGAGCCTGGAAATGTATTTTAAACTTTGGGATCCTAGTATTGTACTTTAAACCCTGGAACCCTGGTATTGTACTTTAAATCATGGGATCCAGACATTGTAGTTTAAACCCTGGGATCCAGGAATTGTAATTTAACCATGGGATCCTTAATTTGTACTTTAAACCCTGGGATCCTGGTATTGTACTTAAAACCCTAGGATACTAGTATTGTTTCTTAATCCATGGGATCTGGGTATTGTACTTTAAACCCTGGGATCTGGACAGTGTACTTTAAATCCTGGGATCCTGGAATTATACCTAATAACCTGGAACCCTGGTATTGTACTTTAAACCATGGGAAGCAGACTTTGTACTTTAAACCCTGGGATCCTGGAATTGTACTTCAAACCATGGGATCATGGAATTGTACTTCAAACCATGGGATCCTGGAATTGTACTTTAAACCATGGAATCCTTAAATTGTACATTAAACCCTGGGATCCTGGTATTATACTTAAAACCATGGGATCCTGGTATTGTACTTAAAACCCTGGGATCTTGACAGTGTACTTTAAACCCTGGGATCCTGGAATTGTAGTTCAAACCATGGGATCCTGGAATTGTACTTTAAACCATGGAATATTGGTATTTTACTTTAAACCCTGGGATTCTGGTATTGTACTGAAAACTCTTGGATCCTAAAATTGTACTTTAAACCCTGGAATCCTAGTATTGTACTTTAAACCCAGGGATCCTGGAATTGTACTTTAAATCATGGGATCCAGACATTGCACTTTAAACCCTGGGATCAAGACATTGATTTTAAACCCTGGGATCCTGGAATTGTACTTTAAACCATGGGATCCTGCAATTGTACTTAAAACCCTGGGATACTGGTATTGTACTTAAAACCCTGGGACCCTGGTATTGTACTTAAAACCCTGGAACCCTGACATTGTACTTTAAACCTTGTGAGCCTGACATTGCACTTTAAACTCTGGGATCCTGGAAATTCACTATAAACCCTGGAATCCTGAAATTGCGCTTTAAACACTGGGATCCAGACAATGACTTTAAACCCTGGGACACTGGAAATGTACTTAAAACCATGGAACCCTGGCATTGTACTTTAAACCTTGGGATCCAGACATTTTAGCTGAAACCCTGGAATCCAGGAATTGTTCTTTAACCATGGGATCCTTAAATTGTGCTTTAAACCCTGGGATCCTGGTATGGTACTTAAATCCTGGGATCCGGTTTTTGCACTTTAAACCCCGGGATCCTGGTATTGTACTGAAATCCCTCGGATTCTGAAATTGTACTTAAAACCCTGGGATCCGAAAAATGTACTTTAAATCCAGGGATCCTGGTATTGTACTTAAAGTCCTGGAATCCTGGTATTGTACTTTAAACCCTTAGATCCGGAAAATGTACTTTAAACCCTGGGATCCTGACATTGTACTTCAAACCCCCAATTCTCCATCCATGAAGTCAATGTTATTATTAGTTTTCCTAAGAGCTAGGTGGTACACCTGCATAATGGATTACTCAATAATAATGTATTTATGAAGATAATTCTAAGATACATATATCAAAAGTATTGGTAAAAGTAATACTAATAATATTACTTTTATCGATATATCAGCTTCAGACAAGACAAGCTCAAAATATATATAAAAAAAAATATTTTAACCGTTATTAGATTTAGAATAATACATGTTATCCTTTCCGTATTTGGGTTCTGAGAATTTTTAAATTCATAATACATATATTATATAAATAACTGAAGTGCCTGGCCGTTGGCAGTGGAAAAAAATAGAATTTAAGAAAATAAAAAATTTTGCCTTTGCCCCATGGTGCCAATGGGTTGGGTTCCCATTAAATAATTCAGCCAATTTGGTCCAGCCGTTTAACTAGCTATAGCTAACACATATATTTATATTTATGAGCAAAGAGCTTTATTAAATATAAGAATAAAAGATTTGCAAATCTCCTCAAAACAAAAATACAAAAGAGTTGCCCGTATGCAAATCATGTTGAATCATATTGTAGGGTGGGTCGGGCTGATGCCTTCTCCCTTTTATTCCATACTCCATGAGACACAGTAATTGTGCAGTGTAAACAGACCCATTCCCCTGAACAATAGTGATTTGATAAGTGTCGCTTAAAACTATTTACTTTGTAATAACATCAAATCCTTGCTATAATGTCGTCTTCCTACTCCTTTGTTAAATGAATATCTTTTGAAAAATTCGTCCGAAACTCTTTGATTAAACTATACAGTGAAACCGTTAATAACGAATACATCGGAAGAATTTATCAAATGTCGTCTTGACAATTTTTCATTGAGTTTTATACTTTATTACGTAAATTTCAGTATTTGCGAAAATAAATAAATAGCCATGAATATGCGGGAACAGTTTTAAAGAGTTCCATATAAATCATTTAATTAAAAAACTAAATATCTGCAACATTCCATTATCATTAAGTGAAGAATACGACATTTGATTAATTCTTTCGATGTATTCGTTCGTTATTAAGGGTTTCACTGTAGGTATAGAAAGAATAGAGAAAAAATATTTCCTTGAAAAGTTTTTACATAAAAGACGACATGACGGAACATTCTTTACATAAAAGACGACATGGCCAAAAATCCTTTACGTTTTCCTTTGCATTCTTTAAAGTACCATGGTCCACAGTGGGGTATTAGGAGGTTAGTATCATGGTCCACAGTGGAAAATTAGGGGGAGGCGAAGGGTTATTTAAGTCAAACTAGCTAAAGGGCCCGGCGTTGCCCTTGATACAATTTTTTTTAAACAAAAAAAAATTTTAAAAATAAAAAAATCAGCGTAATCGGTCCAGCCGTTTGGTCGCCTATACGCAACATATTTATGTACGAATGTCTTGTTTTATTATATAGATAAGGCTTGGCCGCTTAAGATTTTTTTTGACAGAAGTCTCTTAGTTGTTTAAATGCTTCTGCTATAAAATATATGTTTTTCATCTGAAATACTCCCTGTAACAAAGACGACATCTAAATATCTTGCAGGCTTTCAGGATCCATTCAAGGATAAATATATGAACGGGAAAAGTAAATATAAATTGAAATCATTATAAATCAATACAAGCTAAAATTCATACAATGTTTGTAAATGAAAAGATTATCAGAATATATTAATTTTGTCCATTCTCACCATGAAACACAAGACAAATGTACTTTAAGAGGAGTGACAAAACCAGTCACCCTCCCATGACCCCCTAAAATACCCCACCGTTTGGTCATCGGTGGTCATATTTTCAGTTTAAGATTTATCCTGGTTCCAAACCTTTCATTAAACCTTCACAATTTACAATTTAAGATTTACCCTGCTCTAAACCTTTCATTAAACCTCCATAATTTACAATTTAAGATTTACCCATTCATTAAACCTTCACAATTTACAATTTAAGATTTACCCTGTTCTAAACCTTTCATTAAACCTTCACAATTTACAATTTAAGATGTATCCTGGTTCTAAACCTTTCATTAAACCATCATAATTTACAATTTAAGATTTACCCTGGTTCTAAACCTTTCATTAAACCTTCACAATTTACAATTTAAGATTTACCCTGTTCTAAACTTTTCATCAAACCTTCATAATTTACAATTTAAGATTTACTCTGCTCTAAACCTTTCATTAAACCTTCATAATTTACAATTTAAGATTTACCCATTCATTAAACCTTCATAATTTACAATTTAAGATTTACCATTTGTTCTAAACCCATTCATTAAACCTTCATAATTTACAATTTAAGATTTACCCTTTGTTCTAACCCATTCAATAAAATTTCATAATTTACAATTTAGGATGTACCCTTTGTTCTAAACCTTTAATTAAACCTTCATAATTTACAATTTAAGATTTACCCTTTGTTCTAACCCTTTCCTTAAACCGTTACAATTCATAATTTATCCAACTTAGCCTTCCTCTAAACCTCCTTGATTTCTCCATGATTTACCCTCGCATTATACTAAAGTAAATATTGCACTAAAGACTGAATTCTTATTTGAAGAGCTATTGAGACGAACAAAAATGTTTTAACTTCAAATATGTAACCGAAAAATAGCTTTCCTCATACCTGTACGAGGTCACAAAGTCGTACTAATAATGTCTCATAAAACCTACTGTTTAGTTTGCTATGCCCTGCTTCTAAACGTTTGCCCATCCCTCCTCAATTTTACGATAATATGGAGGAATTGGTTGCGCATTACTGTAAGTGAGAGAGTGGTTAATGTATGATGTATCTATATATACGTATATAGATCTAATACTTTATATTTGAATAATAGATATGTATATATTATATATTTATGTATACTGTGTACGTATGTATAAGTTCCTAGAATCAATCAATTTAATATAAATCTATAAAGTTACATTACATATGTATAGTGTACACCCTCATAACATAAACATATATATAGTTTGCTAACCCTAGCTTTGTATGGAAAATAATATTTTTCTATAAAATTCTATTTAAAATTCCATTGATTTAACAAAGTTCTTCAATCTAAGACAATTCTGTCAATGGGTTTCTGATTTATGATCGGACGTACATAAAATCAATTGAATTGAATTTCCTTTCTCTCGAATTAACTAAACTCTAACTAACGTATTGCAAATACTCTTTTTCTTCATATATCTTTTTAGTTATCTAATTCTATCTATCTTTTTAATATATATCTATCTTTATATCTATCAATCTATCTATATATCTATCTCTATGTATATTTATCTATTTATCTATCTATCTTTGTATTTAAGGTCTCCAGTATGGAGGATGAAGACGGATAGTTTTGTGTTCAGTTATATCAAGAGATTAACCAGTAATAGAGCTGCGTATATATTGGCAGATTAGTAAAGTAGGAGTTTTCTTGCACTGTTTTGTACACAGTAGGTCCCAGTAACCTATGGAATAAGAAGATGACTGTTAGACTCATGTTATGATATCAAATAGTCCAATGAACAAAAAACGTAGCAACTGTGCTGCGTAAACAGACCCATTTCACTTTAACGGCTAGTAAAGCTTAATATCTTCTTTGTAACAACGTCTAATTAACTATAATTCGTTTTTCTATTCCATAGTTGTATGGGTCCTACTGTACTACTTAATCTTTATCAGTTCAGAGTATACAATTTTTTTCTTTTCGGATATTTGGTTTTCCTTTACAATTGAACCAGACAATTTTGACATTTAAAGTTAGCATTTGCAATAAGCTTCGACTTGAGATATAGATCAGATCTCAGCAAATAAAATTACTTACTTTTCCAGTTTCTTTGAGTTTGATACCAACTTTATGAACTGATCCTTTCAGTTTTTGCACCTGGTTCTCGTAGTTCTTCTTACTTTAAGTTCTTACATTCCCCTTTCTAGAGTTTCAAACCAATTTTAAATTAAATTTCATATTGATCCTTTCTAAAGATTGAAACCAATTGATCCTTTCTGAACCTTGAAACCAATTTCATTTTTAATACTTTTACATTCACCTTTCTAAAGTTTCAAACAATCTATTTCAAGATCTTACATTGATACTTTCAAGAGTTTGAAACCAATTTAATTTTAAGTTCTTACATTCACCTTTCTAAAGTTTCAAACAATCTATATTTAAAGTTCTTACATTGATCCTCTCTAGAGTTTGAAACCAATTGATCCTTTCTGAGCTTGAAACCAATTTCATTCTAAGTTTTTACATTCCTCTTTTTAAAGTTTCAAACAATCTATTTCAAGTTATTACATTGATCCTTTCAAGAGTTTGAAACCAATTTAATTTTAAGTTCTTACATTCACATTTCTAAAGTTTCAAACAATCTATATTTAAAGTTCTTACATTAATCCTTTCTAGAGTTTGAAAACAAATGATCCTTCCTGGAGCTTGAAACCAATTTCATTTTAAGTTTTTACATTCACCTTTCTAAACTTTGAAACAATCTATTTCAAATTCTTACAATTTACATTGATCCATTCTAGAGTTTGAAACCAATTTGCTTCAAGTTTTGAGATTCCAGTTTTCTTGAAATAAACCCCAAGCATGTTACAAGTTCTTACAGTGCTCTTTTCTAGAGTTTGAAATCAAGTTTATTTTAAGTTCTAACATTGATCAATTGATCCTTAATAAATCTTGAAAATTTTTTTTCAGTTACATCCCACCCCCATGCTCAGTTCCGCAGTATTATTTTTATTTCTGATATTGGTTCTTTCTCGATTTTTTTTCTTTGTAACAACTCCTTCTTAAAATTACGAAATTGATCTTTTCAAGAGTTTGAAAATAATTTTACTTCAAGATTCTAGATTCTTTGTAGAGTTTGAAAAGAGTTTTGTTTCAAAATCTTAGATCTGAGAGTCTATTGTCAGAAAATAATTCTATATAATATGTTTTTTATATTTCTTATTCAAAAACAAATTGTAAGGTTCCAATTAACAAAAAAAAACCTTGTTAGTTTGCTATTCTTAGTTTTTATTGTTCTAAATAACAATCAGAAATAAATCTAAAAATTGAATTTTCTTTCTAACTAAAACATTTAGTTAGAAAGAATTTATTGTTGAACATTTTTATAAAAGGATTTGCAAGGTTATTTTCCATCTGTTCCCACGTCAGCAAACCTACACTCATATAATTTTCTTGTGACACACTAGCTGCCCACATTTCTCGTTAGCCAATTTTTGCTTTCGTGTTCATGCAATTATCATATTATTTTCTTGGCAAAACTTCAAAACAACTTTAATTTGTTGTTTTGTGTGACATCTCTGAGAACTGCAAACCACACGCTCTATTCTATTTCAGCTGGCCCTATTATCAAGCTAGCTTTAACTTCAATCCATAAATTAAAGACATATGTTACTTCTCTGTGGAATTATATAACTCTAGATTGATTGAAGTCTCCTAGTTATGGTCAGAGTTACTTCTGTATTAGAGTTTCTCTGTTTTTGGGACTGTTTCCAAAAAGTTAGGATTGGTAGAAGGCTTAAATTCAGGAATTATAGGATGTGGGGAATTCTTTTACTCAAATCTAAGTCTAGGCTGATATCATTACTCAAAAAATTTCGTGCCGGCAAGGAAATATTCCATACATATCTGTAAATGGGAAAATCTTTTTTAATTTACATAGTTTTAGATATTTAAAAATTACGTTTTAAATTTTGTATTAATATATCATCTGCCGTATAGTTTGCCTCCTGGTTCGGATATTTTACCAGACTAGCTGCCACAGTGTATGTATTTGATCTTTTTAGAGCAATGTTTATGTTATTTTGTCTTCTCTCAACCCCTCTCATTCAATCTTCCGCTGTTCTATTCAAACAGGTAATATAATGTTGTTATATGATGAATCTGGATGTATATTCATAATATATCCGTTAACTTTAAAGGCGCAAAAAAGACAGACCACAGTTTAGAATTCCCAAGACCGGAATAAATGTTGTTAATTTCGAGTCAATTATTTTATTTATTTATTTACTTTTTATCAGCAATGCAAATTTTCGGGATCAAAGCTGAAACATCAGAATAAATAAATATTAATTAAATTAACTTATCATTTCCTCATTTATCAGTTTACGACGGTATTTTATACAAATTCGTTATTAAGTTAATGTTTTGAAGTTTAATTATAAGTTAGATTAATAATTATCTTCAAATCATATCCGGTGCGCTTTAGTTAAAGGGCGGATTCACGAATTTTAATTGCAAGATTAGGACGATTTCCTTTAAATTTCGACCTGAACGAATATTTATTTAGGCGCCTTCGGATCGAGACTTAGTACTCAATGAGATTCATGATATTACAACCAACAACATTGGAAGTCTTTGTCATCATCATAAATACAGGTTTGATTTACACTTTTCCTTGTTTTTATTTTTCCTGCAAACTGTGATTTTCTAATCCCTAAATCTTTGAACCCAAATGTCGTATTAATTTAATTTATTTCAAATATAATGGTTACTTATACTAAACTCCTTGCCGCTTTCTCTGAGTCATGGCAGAATATAGAACCTGGAGATTGAAGCAGTGCAACCGGGTCCAGCAAATTGAACAGCAGTAAATGTGGAGATTGCTAAAAGATATATTTGAATCTGAGGAAGCTACTCAGATATAGATTTTGAACCGGAGCAACTGAACGAGATATTTGAGGTTGAGGAAGCTTCTCAGATAGATCCTGAACCGGAGCAGCTGAACGAGATATTAGAGGTCGAGGAAACTTCTCAGATAGATCCTGAACCGGAGCAGCTGAACGAGATATTTGAGTTTGAGGAAGCTGCTCAGATAGATCCTGAACAGGAGTAGCTGAATGAGATATTTGAGTTTGAGGAAGCTGCTCAGATAGATCCTGAACCGGAGCAGCTGAACGAGATATTTGAGTTTGAGGAAGCTGCTCAGATTGATCCTGAACCGGAGTAGCTGAATGAGATATTTGAGTTTGAGGAAGCTGCTTAGATAGATCTTGAACAGGAGCAGCTGAACGAGATATTTGAGTTTGAGGAAGCTGCTCAGATAGATCCTGAACAGGAGCAGCTGAACAAAGGTTTTCCAGAATCTAATAAAAGGCAGATTTTACAAAGATTGACTTTGTATAGATTTACCTTATCAGTAAACGACCTTGCCTTAGTAAACCTAAAAGGTATCCAGAGAGAGATTGTAAAAGGGATTTATAAGGAGTACTGGGATCCAAGGTGAAACGTTTACATATTCCCTAACCATGGGAGTAATTTGAAGATCCAGATTCAGGATTTATACTTAGATTGGAGAAATTAGTCCTTGTAAGATGTCAAGACAAACTAATTATGAAGATATTATGAAATACTATAAATACTTCAATATATATTAGGTTACTTCTTAAAATCTGTTATAAATATTCAAATTTTGATCAACTTAGGGCGTTTAATCTTATTATATCAAAATAAATTTTGTGAATATTTGAGTTTGTGGCAAAACTTAGTTCCTTTACTTCTTAAAATCTGTTATAAATTTTCTAATTTTGATCAACTGAGGGCGTTTAATCTTATTATATCAAAATAAATTTTGTGAATATTTGAGTTTGTGGCAAAACTTAGTTCCTTTACTTCTTAAAATCTGTTATAAATTTTCAAATTTTGATCAACTAAGGGCGTTTAATCTTTTTATATCAAAATAAATTTTGTGAATATTTGTTTATAGCTAACATTAATCAAATTAAAGATCAGAGGAAGAAACTTTTTAATCATAAACATAAACATTTTAATCATTTCTCCCTTTGACGGTTTACCCATAAACGGGACAAGTTAAAAATTGAGTCTAGTCAGCTGTGCACTATACCAAACAAACGTCTCGTCCTCAGATTTAGTTTCCACCCTTCCTTTATATTATTATTATTATTATTATATCATTATTTTGTACACATAGTGGTATAATAGATTAAATATAGGATATATGAGATTTAAGACTTCTAACTTTTATATATGTATATTGTATATGTCATACAAAATTAAAACAAGTCACAGCACAGGTGGTTAATTATTCGAACAATTTATCTCTTTCAACGCGAAACTTAAAATTCCTTTGTTCTAAAATATAAATTTTCCAAAAATTTTTATTAGAAATTTTTTCAAAAATTAAATTACTTTTTACTTACAGCTTTGTCAGATTACTCGGATTACAATTACGATCTTGTGCAATGTTGTAGATAGTTTTGCCATTTGTTGTTTATATTAATAACCATTTGTTCAGGAGTGTAAACATTGAAATGAATGTGTCCAACTACGCCAACACAATTGAAAGAATACAGGTGCTGAACAATTTTTTTTGAATTAGAGCAAATTAGGGCAAAAATTAAACCGTAAGAAAAATATGCTAAAGTTAGAACAAAGTTAATGCCAGAGCTTTATGCGAGGGGGAAATAAAAACGCCAGGGCTTTATCTGAAGAAAATGTTGGAGGTAAAGTTAGAGTTTAAAGTTAGAGCAGCGATACATTTTTCTGGAGCTAAAGTTAAAGCCAAAGCTTTATCTTCAACTTAAAGGGAGTGTTGACGAAAAATGGAAGGGGGTATACGCTTACGTCGAAATTTTTTTGACGTAAGCCTATAACCTCTTTCATTTTTAGCGAACTCTCCCTTTAATAAAAAACGCCAGAGCTTTATCTGGACTATATTTAGAGCTATATCTTAATACGAAGCTAAAGCTAGAGCTAAAGATGTAACTGGCTAAAGGAAACTCTATTTTTCTAGTCTCTATATCTTTATCGTAGACCTTTGATATTTCAAACTATGAATTCTGTTAGACCAAATAATCTAAGTTTGAAATATCAAAGGTTTACATCATCAGATTGTAAAGATATAGGGATTAGACAATTTGAGTTTGTGACAAAAACTCGGTTCCGTTAGAGCTATATATCTTTATATGATGCTAAAGTTAGAGCTCAAGCTGTAACTGGACTAAATTTAGAGCTGGATCTTTAAATGAAGCTAAAGTTAGAGCTAAAGCTGTAACAAGACTAAATTTAGAGCTATATCTTTATATCATGCTAAAGTTAGAGCTAAAGATGTAACAAGACTAAATTTAGAGATATATCTTTATATGAAGCTAAAGTTAGAGCTAAAGCTGTAACTGGACTAAATTTAGAGCTATATCGTTATATGATGCTAAAGTTAGAGCTAAAGATGTAACTGGACTAAATTTAGAGCTATATATCTGTATATGAAGCTAAAGTTAGAACTAAAGTTGTAACTAGAATAAATTTAGAGCTGGATCTTTATATCATGCTAAAGTTAGAGCTAAAGCTGTAACTAGACTAAATTTAGAGCTATATCTTTATATGAAGCTAAAGTTAGATTTAAAGCTGTAACTAGACTAAATTTAGAGCTATATCTTTATATGAAGCTAAAATTAGAGCTAAAGCTGTAACTAGACTAAATTTAGAGCTATATACTTATATGAAGCTAAAGTTAGAGCTAAAGCTGTAACTAAACTAAATTTAGAGCTATATCTTAATATGAAGCTAAAGTTAGAGCTAAAGCTGTAACTAGACTAAATTTAGAGCTATATCTTAATATGAAGCTAAAATTAAAGCTAAAGCTGTAACTAGACTAAATTTAGAGCTATATCTTTATACAGAATAAGTAAAATCAGCTTTAATTTTTTCTTAAGCTAAAGACTGAGCTAAACCTTACCTAAGGACTTAGCCACACAATTTTTAATTGGAGTTAAGTAAAAGAACAAAGCTTTATATGGAACTGTAGAGTTAAGAAAAATTCTTATATTTACAATTTATGAATTCTAGTTTTTTTCTTCCTACCTGATCTCTGCTAACCTACTCAATCAAATAGGTAAGTATGAAAAGATTGAAATCTCCCATTGTTAAAAAGTTTTTTTTTCAGTGCCAAATAGGGTCCAAAGAAAAATAATGGTTATTAATTCGTATTTGCCATTTACATTTGGTCACTTACATTTACCATTGAAAAAAAAAAAAAAAATATCTTGTTTAATGTTTTTTATGAGCCTGTTGCTTAATCTTGCCTTGGGTTTTGGAACTAATCAGTTGTGTAAAATAAACTAAAATTATATCTAATGCCGCTTTTTGCTCAATAAAAAACTGATTTTGGAGAAAATATAAGAAAAAATATTTTTGTGGGTGTTTCAGATAAGGTTGAAATGATGCTTGAATCTCTGGTTTTCCGTGATATAAACATTTCCAAGCTGAGCATATTCAACTTTAAGGAACAATTTACAGTTATGGTAAGGAACATTTCCAAGCTGAGCATATTCAACTTTAAGGAACAATTTACAGTTATGGCAAGGAACATTTCCAAGCTGAGCATATTCAACTTTAAGGAACAATTTACAGTTATGGTAAGGAACATTTCCAAGCTGAACATATTCAACTTTAAGGAACAATTTACAGTTATGGTAAGGAACATTTCCAAGCTGAACATATTCAACTTTAAGGAACAATTTACAGTTATGGTAAGGAACATTTCCAAGCTGAACATATTCAACTTTAAGGAACAATTTACAGTTATGGTAAGATTCAGTATTTAAAGCAAATTGAGGTTTTTCCACTTGAAAACTCGAAATTAACATCAAAATTAAAAGTATCGCGTCAATTTAAAAGGATTGATACCAAATTTTAAGAAATCTTTTTTGTTTTTGTTGAAAATCGACAAATTGAAGTAGTGGCTGCATATTTGAACATTAAAGTAAACTAGTTACTTTCATTCCTTGCTTTTAAGATGAAGTAAAAAACATTTTCCTTACATTAGTAAGGAAGGAGCCTACGTATGTGTAAGAAAAAGCTGCTGACTAATCTAGAAAATCTGGTTTTTATGTTAATTGAGAGTTAATTAGTAGGGAGAGGGTCTATATATATATATACTCTGGAGTAAGTAATAAATAATTATTCATTTCCGCTTAACATTAAACATAATATATTTAAATATAATAACATTAAGTATAATAGTAAACTGTTTACTCGCCGAAAATAATAATTTTCTCATTTCTAAATGTTTTACAGTACCTGATCGATGTAATGGACCTCTGATAATTGAAACCATGAATTCTGTTAGATCAAATAACCAAAGTTTTAAATTTTAAAGATTTACACAGATTACTAAGAAATAGAAATTAGAAAAAAAGAGTTTTCAGTTCATTTAGATTTTAATAGATTTTAATAGAAATTATCATTTTAAAAACGCAGAATTTGGTTGTGAAGCAGATCCCACGGAAAAAGGTGACCAGTCCCTTTTTCTGACTAATTTTTGTTCTGTTTCCTTAGGTTGGTCGGGGTCTGGTTGATGTAAGGAATGATACAAGGGAATACAAAGAAGGAGCTGCCCCTTGGTACAAACAAAGGTTGCTTTAATTTAATTAAATCTATTTTACCTTTAATTTGTCTGTACCCGTCTGCAAAGCATGTATAATCATATGGTAGGGCGGGACGCGTCAGTTGTATCTCCCTTCTTTATCATACTCCTTGAACATAATCCTGCATAATCATTGATTTTGTTTGTTCATTTGATGTTCGTACAAGGCACATTGTACATTGTACAATTGAGGTATAAACGCGCATTGTACATAGCAATATACATTATTAAGTTTGTTGTATGTATGCAATGTGCAATGCGCACTATAAGTAGTGGTTCATCATTTAACTTTAATTTTATACAATGTACAAATTTACGCCGCATCGTGTGTACGTATATATAAATGTTTATATTTGAGTTTTTTCCCAGTGAATACAGAAGCTAATTAATACTTTTGTATGCACAGATCATATTCTTTTGTTTGTATATTGGAATAATTTAGGAGATACATATATGTTGGTTTACATTACTTGTAGGATCAAAGGTAGGGAGGGGATGGGGGAGGGGCAAGAGGAGAGGGGTTACGGAGGGGAGGGGGGGGTGACCATGTTATTTTAATACATACTTTGGGAACAACACAAAATTATGAAATTGGCAGAAATACTGAGTCTGAGCCTGACCCTGAAATCTCGTTTTAGTCCTTTTTCGACAAGTTTCAATTTGCATGTTAATATTACTTATTATTATTAATTTTAATAATAAATCAGTTAATGCTATATTATGACATTTAAAAAATAATTCTTTAAAAAAACTTCCTTCCATTTTACTATTCAATGCATAAATTGTGATTTTTGACAACTAATTTCTCTGGAGAATGTATTTTTCACTTTTGTATGAGAAAAACAGAATATAATGAAGTCGAACACGAACTTAATTTACTGACAAGGGATATAACAAGAAGGGGGGGGGGCAAAAAGAATTTACAGACAAGGGATATAACAAGAAGGGGGGGGGGCAAAAAGAATTTACAGACAAGGGATATAACAAGAAGGGGGGGGGGCAAAAAGAATTTACAGACAAGGGATATAACAAGAAGGGGGGGGGGCAAAAAGAATTTACAGACAAGGGATATAACAAGAAGGGGGGGGGGCAAAAAGAATTTACTGACAAGGGATATAACTAGAGGGGGGGGCAAAAAGAATTTACAGACAAGGGATATAACAAGAGGGGGGGGGGAGGCAAAAAGACTTTACAGGATTTTGGACTTCTCATTAAATACCGTCTATCGTTTTTATTGGTCCCTTTTAAAAAAATCTCATCTCTGTAAAAAATCACGTTTTTCTTAATTCCTAAATTTACATGTATTAAAAAAAATAAAAACATTCTTATTTTACTACACCTTCGTTATATCAATCCGATGAGGGTGGGGGGGAGGCGACCCGCACCCGTTTTTTGCCCTCAGACAAAATTTCTTAATTTGTATATGCTAATTATAGACAAATGCAGCGTTAATTTAAAATTATAAAGAGTAAAGACGTCATGGCATCTATCATATAATAAACTTTTTAATATTTTTGGTTTATAACAATAGCACATTTCCCCGTTGAAATAGGCGATAGTTTTAAAATTTTTGATGAAACAACCTTTTAGTGTAGATCGTATTTGGGGCATTGCGCTATTTACGTGACTTGCCTGTATGTCTTCCTACCCGCATTTGTATTCATTAGCTAAATGCGTTTATTTGCAATTTACTCTTTATCAATATATTAAGGTGTATATGCGGTCTGATGACGATAATCTTCTTAAAAAAGGTTCTGGTACACTAAGAAAAATCATTTTTAAACAAAATCTCACATTTTGGCGTGAGATTCAGTAAAAAAGATGCTATAATAAAAAAGAGTTAATTTATTATGAATTCATTCAAAATTTATATTTTAAAATTATAAGATTTTAGTTAAAATTAAAACCAGTTGTGCCTGCCGGAAGGCAAAACGGGTGAGGTTGGACGACATAGGGGTAAGCGTAAACCGCTAATCCCATCTTGTGACGTCATCTTCGGGTCGGAGGTAAAACGGGTGCGCGTCGCCTTCCCTCCCTCATCCGATCATGCCTCAAACGTTATTCAAAACCGGGACAATTTATTAAGGGTTAAGGAGTAAGAAAGAGCACGCTTTTAGGCTCAACTATGAAAAAAGTTCTAGAATGTTTATTGTCCTACAGTGGTATCCAAAACAAAGGGACATAAGAGTACGATTTTCGGGGGTGGGGCGGGGGGGGGGGGGGGGGTAATTTACTATAAATAAACTGAATTATGATTTTATGAGAAGCTGCCAATGATTTTTCGGGGGGGCCCCCCCCCCCCATTTTTCAAGGGAGGAGGCTGCTTGTAGCTTGACAAATAGTTAATCCACAGAAACAATTCCCTGCAAGTGCACACTGATTAATTGCGCTGGCGTGTCCCTTATTATTTAACAATATAATATATTTTCTGTTAAAAGTCGTCTTTGTATTCTTCTTTGTTCAAGATATTATGTTTTATATATATAATTTGTAACCTTCAAATATACTTTTTTGATTAAAATCTTTGAAAGTTGAAAAATAAATCTTAGATTTTTATTTCGAAATGTATACAATATAAATAATTGGTTCAATACAATTGAAACACATATGAATGATAAATACAAATACAAGAAAAATAATTATTAAAAAAATGTTTTGTATTTAAGGATGTCTGAGCTTGACATGAAGGATGGCTGGACCCCTCCTTACTATTCATGTCTTACTAGAGCTTGGATGATGAGTTTTATGCTCATTTTACCAAATCAAATAAAAAATGATAAAAAGTAAGAATATTTTCTACAAAAAAATATTTTAGGTTTGAAAGAAGTTGAGTCTTTGTCACAAACTATGATTTTCTAATCTCTATATCTTTGTAACCCAATGCCGTAGACCTTTGCTATTTCAAACAATGAATTCTATTAGATGAAAAAATCTAAGTTTGAATTATCAAAGGTTTACACCATCAGGAGGAAAACATATAGGTATTAGAAAATCAGAGTTTGTTACAAAGACTCAATTCCTTTCTTATTCAATTATTCAAAGTCTTGAGGAAGGTTGCTTTGAATTGTGTGAAGGAAGATATTTTTTAGTTGGAAAAAAAACTTTTTAAATTAAAGTAGCATCATTTTTTACTTTGCAATTTTTCGCTTAAACGTTTAATGGTAAATTTCTTTAAATTTGCAAAATTTAAATAAAGAATGTTTTTAAATATGTTTTCTGTTGTAGTGTTGATTGTATCCTTGTAGTGGATATAAACATATCTGGGTTGGATATCAATCAATGTGAAGCAACACAGGAACATAACACAGATAATTTATTATCAAAGCATTAATTAAAGCATAGCATTATCCATTGGGAAATAAGTTTCTCTCTTCCAGAGCTGTCCACATGTATACAAATATTTTAATAAAAACTTGATTTTAAAATGTTATTTTGAATAGAATCGATTAAGCTGATTCAAAAGTATAGATTTCCGTTTTAGTCCTTAACTTTCTAACTTCCCAATGGGATTAATCAAACATTTTAACAATTTTTTTCCAATATTTCCTTTTTCAATTCCTCTTTTCTGTAATATGTTTCCTTTTTCATTTCCTCTTTCTCTTCTACTTCTCTCTAATATATGCTGTTCTCGTCTATTTATCTCTAACCCATGCTGTTCTTTCTATTTCTCTTTGGTTTAATCCATGCTGTTTTCTTCTATTTCTCTCTTATCCATGCTGTTTTCTTCTTTTTCTCTTTTATCCATGCTGTTTTCTTCTATTTATCTCTTATCCATGCTGTTTTCTTCTTTTTCTCTCTTATCCATGCTGTTTTCTTTTATTTCTCTCTTACCCATGCTGTTTTCTTCTATATCTCTGTTATCTATGATGTTGTCTTCTTTTTCTCTCATATCTATGATATTGTCTTCTGTTGCTGTTCTCTTCTATTTCTCTCTAATCTATGCTGTTTTTTCTATTTCTATCTTATCTACATATAATGTTTTCTATTTCTATTGTTCCCCATTCTTTACTTTATTCCCTTTCTTCATTCCTTCCTCCCTCCAATCCTGTACAAGACCCGATATTAGAATATTTTGGCAATGCTTAACTATATGTATTTACATATATTTAATTACTACTCAATAAGTTGCATGTAAACGGCAAATTGAGATATATGACAAAACGCATAATATTTTTGTATTTGCTTATTTTCAATAACTTGATAGAAAAAACCCCAATTTATTTAAAAAGAAAAGGCTTCAATTAGAATTAGAATTAGAATTAGAATTAGAATTGAATTAGACGATTAAAACTCTCTAGAAAGAGAAATTTACCACTCTGGCCAAAAAATGAGGAAATGAAAAATGTTGACAAACCCTTCAAAAAAATCGTAATAAAAAATGTCAACCAATCCCATCAAATCATAAAACATGGAACGTATTTGGATTTGATTTGTGTTGTGCATTTATAACTATATTGTTAATCAACATTAATTTGGATTAGATTTCAAATCCCTTAGATATAGTATTAGTGAAGTCGGTCTGGATTAAACTGAAATCCTTCTCTCATATACCAATAGAGTTAATGCAAGATTTAGAAATTAAATCTGGAACTGTAAACGTCATTTCAAGTAATCATTTTTTCAAAAGAATGGCATGTTAGAATCACAACGTAACCCTTTCAACGTACATCTAAGGAGCGACTTAAGGAAAGTGTCTTCGTCTTCATTTTTTAAAATACAATATTCCATCAAATTTCTTCATAGTTTTTGCAGCATAAAACCTCGTAAACAACTACAATTTCAATTAGAAAATAAAGGATATCTCATAAATAAACTGTGCAATATGCTAAGCTATGAAACATAGATGAATGGCATACTATAAAAAGATATTTAAAAGGAGTTGAGTTTTTGCCACAAACTCTGATTTTCTAATCTCTATATCTTTGTAACCCAATGTGGTAGACCTTAGATATTTCAAACTATTAATACTTAAAGATAAAATAAGCTAAGTTTGATCTATCAAAGGTTTGCACCATCAGGTTGCAAAGAAATTGGGATCAGAAGATTTAAGTTTGTGGCAAAAACTCAATTCCTTTGAATGGGTAGAAACAAAATTATGGATTCTTTTTCATGAAATTTTTAATAAAATTTTGTTAGCGAAGTTGGTTATTCAAATTTTTTGTTTTGTAATGTTTTTTTTTATTTTAACATTTTGTTGTGACGTGTTCTGACATAGGCATAGTTTTGTATTCAAGATATTAATCTGAAAGGTTTATATTTTATTTCTTTTTCATTGCTTTATTTACTTTTTAACATTTTTTTTAGAACCAAAGATAATTACTAAACCAAGTAAACATTCAGATATATAAAATAAAACATACCGAGCATTACATTTTGAAATATGATAAACATCTACTAAAAGTCAGTTGATGATACTCAGAAAGATCAAGAAGAACGTATGTTTTGTAAATAACAAACTAAATTGCCCTCAGTCCCAGTCTTCTTGTCCTTTAATCATTAATCCTTGTTTTGGTTTCCAGTGAAACTATTCCTTGATCTGTCCTTATTCGTTATATTAAAATGTAACACAACCCATTTTTCTTCTCTTCTTACTTATATTTTAGGAATATTAACTAAATTAATAAGTATCAAAAAACATAAAAAAAATATAGATGTAAGGTTGGTTTTCTTATTTCCAACATGTGATAAAACTTATTTTTGAAAGTTAGAGAGAGATGCAATAATGTAATGATAATAATCTGACGTAATGGATTTTCAGGAACTCAGGAGAAATATAAATAGTTAATCTACACAAGTAGTTGATATATAAAACAATATGAGTATTTTCTTATTCATCATAGAATCATAATTCAACCTTTGCATGAATAAAAAAACAGTCTGATCTCGATCTTTTGTTAATCTGCGGATTAATTTAATCTTTATTTCATATACTGCATGGTAATTGTACCATGATAACTGAAGTGAAGAGAAGCATTGCTTCTCAAATCAAAAGTAGCCAGAGTGGATATCGAGATCAAGCAACAGTTCCCAGCTCTATTAACTCTCCTCGATCTCTAATTAGTTTTGCAACCTGATTTCGCGGCTCGTGATACTTTTGATATTTCATACTATGAAATCTGCTAAGTCAAATAGGCACAGTTTGAAATATCAAGGTTTAAAGTTTAAAATTATCTAGTTTGATGCAAATTATGAGTTTCTTTAGTGTCCGAATTTAAGGAATTTGAGCCGCGGCTTAAATCTGCCAAAAACCGGTTTCAATTGAGCGCCAGCTTAAATATTGAAAAATTGAATACAATTTCAAATGGAACCAACCATATTTGATCCGCGGCTTAAATTCTTTAAATTTGGCCTCAGTTTTATCAGATTGATGTGTTATTTGTGTTGTTAGAGTGGAACCAAAACTATTAAATGGTTTGAGGAATCACATAAATGTCACAATTCCAGTAAGGTATCCTTTAATCTTCTTTTAAACTCTGGATAATTTAGTTCCTTCCCTTTTTTGTGAATTTACCGTAAATCCCTAGAATTAAATGTAAATTAAAAACCCATTTTTGATTGTTTTATGCCGGTTTTCGATTTTCGGAAATTTGTACACAAAAATATAATTAATTGTACGTAGTTTTCATCAGGAAAAATCATCTAGGAAAAATTATCTAGGAAAAAATCATCTAGGAAAAATCATCTAGGAAAAAATCATCTAAGAAAAATTACCTAGGAAAAATCATCTAGGAAAAATCATCTAGGAAAAATTACCAAGGAAAAATCATGTAGGAAAAATCACCTAGGAAAAATCATCAAGGAAACATCATCTAGGAAAAATCACCTAGGAAAAATCATCTAGGAAAAATCGTGTAGGAAAAATCATCTAGAAAAAATCATTTTGGAAAAATCATCTGGGAAAAATCATCTAGGAAAAATCATCTAGGAAAAATCATCTAGGAAAAAATCATGTAGGAAAAATCATCTAGAAAAAATCATTTTGGAAAATCATCTAGGAAAAATCATCTAGGAAATAATCATCTAAGAAAAATTACCAAGGAAAAATCATGTAGGAAAAATCACCTAGGAAAAATCATCAAGGAAAAATCATCTAGGAAAAATCACCTAGGAAAAATCATCTAGGAAAAATCATCTAGGAAAAATCACCTAGGAATAATCATCTAGAAAAAAACCATCACAGAGTTGAAAATGATGTCATTTAAATCCAGCAATTGTGCTATATATATATATATAGGGAGTTTTAACAAAACACGAGAGGGGGTATATGCTGAATAATATAATATCAATCTTACTTTTGGTGTCTATGATTAGAAATTGATAAGACTCGTTTTACGCTCACACTTCTATCAAACTATTACCCTAATGTCCTAGCCAGAGCGAACTATCCAGAATATTCTTATTACAGAAAATTACATTTTTGTAAAATGCCATGCGTTAGTTCCAAATACGATAAAATCATATTCTAAAATATAAAACAATTCTATTTTGTATTTAGTGTGTATTTGAACCTGGACACGGCTGGGTAAGAGGAGGTAAACTAAACTAAACTATTTTTATTTTCAAATTTATTTGGAAAAGTATAAAGTAAAGAATAAATCAAAGACTTCAATTAGACCTTTACTTAATTCAAAATTATGCCACTAATTAACGCTTGATCTCGAATTAAACTAAATAAATTAAATATATCTCTTAATTAAAGTTATAACTGCAGGGTTTGACCACCAAGGGAATATTAAAGAGGAATTAAATTAATTCATGGGTCTGCATCAAATGGAGATTCACATAAAAAAGTTCTGACTTTTGGACAATAGGATAAAATTATTTGAAGAACAATTGACTTTTAACAGAATTGATTTATAAAACAAAGAAAGACAATTATTTGCAGAAGAAATGACGCATGACAGAATCTAATATTCAGGGTATAGATGTGAGTGTTGGGAAGGTTTTGTCCTACCTATCTTATAGGATATATTCTACAATATACGGTGGAAACCAGAAAACTTTAGTATAGAAGAAGGCTCAAAGTATTACTTTAAATAGTTTAATTAACTTAATACACAGCAATTCTGCAGTGTAAGCACTAAGTAGACCCATTTCACTTAATAAATGAATTAATAAGTCAATAGTAAACTATTTGCTTTGTAACAACATCATATTCACTTAAGTATTGCTTTAATGTCGTCTTTCTATTCCTGAGTTTTCTGGTTCTCATTGTACAAGATGTATTTTACAGGACATATGGTGCCGGATATATTATACAGGATATATTCTACCGCACATATTCTACAGGATATATTCTAAAGGATATATTCTACAGGATATGTTCTGCAGGATACATTCTACAGGATATATTCTACAGGATAAATTCTACAGGATATATTCTACAGGATATTTTCTACAGGATATATTATACAGGATATGTTCTACAGGATATATTCTACAGGATATTTTCTACAGGATATGTTCTACAGGATACATTCTACATGATATATTCTACAGGATATATGGTGCCGGATATATTATACACGATATATTCTACCGCACATATTCTACAGGATATATTCTACAGGATGTATTCTACAGGATATATTCTACAGGATATATTCTGCAGGATATATTCTACAGGATATGTTCTACAGAATATTTTTTCTACAGGATGTATTCTACCGCACATATTCTACAGGATATGTTCTACAGGATATATTCTACAGGATATATTCTACAGGATATATTCTACTGTTCAGGGTACGGATGTGAGTGTAAGGATGGATTCTATCCTGCCTATCCTACGAATGAACGAACTAGATTTAATGGAAGTCTAGTCGAGGTAAATATTCTTAAATAACTATAAATATTGTAACGATTGAAGATCCTACAAAATAAAAGGAAAAATAATAAATTTTAATCAGTAGGACAATTTTTACTTTTAAAAATTTACTGAAAAGAATTATTTCAGATTAAATTATAACTTATTATAACAGTTTCTGTATTTAGGTTGCATACATGGATTCTTTAAGAGACGGCTCTGAGACGTATACAATGTTATATGAGTGTAAAAAGTGTAGTTTAGATTGTACAACATGTACAGACAATTCACCCTGCAGAGCTGAGTTCAACTGGGTATTCAGGGATATACATTTCTAAATTTAACAGATTTTTATTTTTTAGAAATGAAGACACGTTAGACGTAAAAAATAATCGACAGTTAAGACGATATAATCACTTGTGTAGTTTTAAAGCAAAAAGTTCTACCAGTAACTAAAAAATGTCTAAAAATGATTGTATAATGAATGTATATATTGACTAATGAATGTATAATGAAATGTATATATTGACTAATGTGTATAATGAAATGTTTATATTGACTAATGAATGTATAATGAAATGTATATATAGACTAATGAATGTATAATGAAATGTATGTATTGACTAATGAATGTATAATGAACTGAATATATTGAATAATGTGTATAATGAAATGTTTAAATTGACTAATTAATGTCTAATAAATGTATATATTGACTAATGAATGTATAATGAATATATATATTTACTAATGAATGTATAATGAATGTATAATGAATGTATGATTAATGTGTATATTGACTAATGAATGTATAATGAATGTATATATTTACTAATGAATGTATAAAGGATGTATATATATTGACTAATGAATGTATAATGAATGTATATATTGACTAATGAATGTATAATGAATGTATAATGAATGTAAAATGAATGCATAATGAATGTATTTATTGACTAATGAATGTATAATGAAATGTATTTATTGACTAATGAATGTATAATGAATGTATAATGAATGTAAAATGAATGTATAATGAATGTATTATATTGACTAATGAATGTATAATGAATGTATATATTGACTAATGAATGTATAAAGGATGTATATATTGACTAATGAATGTGTAATGAATGTAAAATGAATGTATNTGAATGTATATTTTGACTAATGAATGTATAATGAATGTATATATTGACTAATAAATGTATAATGAATGTATAATGAATGTATAATGAATGTATATAAAGAAGTGTTCTGCTGGTTATATCAGTGTTCTGTATGGTGGTGAGCCTAGTTATGATTATTCTTGTATTCTGCTTTAGGAACAAACAATAATAATAAGGAGAAATAACCAACCTACAAATATCAATTCTTAAGAAGATTTTTGGGAATTTTTCTCATGAAGGAACTGATTATTTACCTCGTGGTCGACTTTTTTTTGCCACATGACGGTAAACTTTTGATATATCAAAGTATTTGAGTCTTTGCCACAAACTCAAATTTTGTAATCCCTATATCTTTACAACCTGATATTGTAAACCTTTGATATTGTAAACTTTAATTATTCAAAGTTTTAAATATCCAAGGTTTTTACCATTAAATTTCTAAGTATAGGATTTAAAAAATCAGAGTTTGTGGCAAAGACTCAATTTCTTTAAACTATTTGAAATGGCAGAATTCGTGGGGGATATATGAAAAATCCATGATATCAGCTTGACCTTTCAGTTCCTTTATTTTATTAAATTAATGACCATAGACTTTATTTTCTGACAATAATTATTCCACTTTTAAATTATGCTTTTTTAGTAAATCATAAAACTAAAAAATCGAACCTTCTATACAAGTAGTGTCCGAATTTAATGAATTTGAGCCGCGGCTTAAATCTGCCAAAAACCGGTTTCAATTGAGCGCCGGCTTAAATCTTGAAAAATTGAATACAATTTTAAGTGGAACCAACCATATTTGAGCCGAGGCTTAAATTTAAGTAGCGGCTAAAATTCTTTAAATTCGGCCTCATAGCCAAATAAATTTTGATTAAAGGAATTAATGACTTATTGATTGCTTCTTTAGACATATGAAAGTGTTTAAATACTCATCGCCAACGTTTTTGTGCATCACTCTAGTCGGATGCGCTATTATGTTTTCAGAGGTAAATTCAGAACTTTGGGAACTTCTCCTTGGAACTTATAGACTTGGAATGTTACTAAGAATACAAACCTTACACTGCAGTATAGAAATATTAAGCAATTAAATTGAATAAAATAAATAACACACATACGAAACAAGGGTCTGTCCTATTGAACGATTTTTGGACCCCCTCCCCCCTCCTCCTCCTAATTACCAAACAAAGCCAAATCACGTCATTAAGTGATTTCGTTAAACTTGGAGATAACTGATGATGAGATGAAGAGGGCTCACAGAGGGAGGGGTGGCTGCTCTCAGGGTTTTGGAATTACTCCCAAGATTTTGGAGTGCTCCCAGGGTTTTGGAGTAAAATGTGAAAATTTATCTGACCTTCTATGAAAAGTCCTTTAAAAAGCTAGATTTTTTAAACCGAAACTCAAAAAAATGGCTCAGCTACCCTTTTTTTACTGTCTTTGTTTAGATATTTGCAGAAAAAGCATGGTGTAATATTTAGAATATGACCAGATACTAAAACCCCTCAACCCTTTGTCTGAATCTAAGCTGATTAGAGAACCTGGAGAATAGGAGCTTTACCTTCAGGATCATATACAGGATAGACGTTAGAGCTTAGCTCCGTTATTTCCCATAAGGCCTTGCACTTCATTGACAACTCTCAGACAATTATACCTTTAATATGCCTAGTAGAGGACCAAGGAGGACACTGGCCTCCTTCCCCATCGATATCCCGGAGTATTTCTTCATATTCATCAGCATCCCCAAAGGACGCTATTTATTCTCCAGTTGGATCTATAAACAGAGTTACTGGGGCCTTGGAGCAGCTAAGGTGTTTATAAGTAGTAACTCTATTATCTCGAGTTTGTTCAAGTAATCGGGCCACTCAAGATACAGAGAAGCCAGGATCTCTTGGACATGCGGAAGCTCCATTTTCTCTCAATGGAAACACCCAAGATATGGAGCAGCCAGAATACCAATATAAACCAATGACTCATTGTGAAGAAGAGATCGTGAGGATTTACGAAGACGGGATTTATCGTCCTCCGGACATGATTGAGAAATCAAGCTAGATCTCACCATATTCATCTGTAGATCTCATCAAGAAATTCGCCCATACTCATCTGTAGATCTCATCAGGAGATTCCACCATACTCATCTGTAGATCTCATCAAAAGATTTAACCATAATCATCTGTAGATCTCATCAAAAGATTCCACCGTACTCATCTGTAGATCTTATCAAGAGATTCCACCATACTCATCTGTAGATATCATCAAGGATTCCACCATACTCATCTGTAGATCTCATCAAGAGATTCCACCATACTCATCTGTAGATCTCATCAAGAGATTCCACCATACTCATCTGTAGATCTTTTCAAGAGATTCCACCATACTCATCTGTAGATTAATATCCTGTAGCTTCTAGAACTGGACCAATTGCTCTCTTACCAGCCCGTCTGGACTACCCACCGAAATATCCTGGATACAGAGGAGATCTAAGATATACAAGATATCAGATGCTGCCTAAAAAAAAGATACTGGAGTCGATGATCTTTACAAACAGCTCTTCAAATATCTGGAGCAGCTATAAATTCCAGTCAGGCTTAGGACTCCAGGAGCAGAAGATAAACCTGATACTGGGGACGCTGATCTTTTGAGACTGCTCTTAATATATCTGGAGCAGCTAGAAAATCCAGTCTGACTTAGGACTCCAGGAGCAGAAGATAAACCTGATACTGGAGACGCTGATCTTTTGAGACAGCTTTTAATATATCTGGAGCAGCTAGAAAATCCAGTCTGACTTAGGACTCCAGGAGCAAAAGATAAACTTGATACTGGAGACGCTGATCTTTACAGACAGCTTTTCATATATCTGGAGCAGCTACAAGATCTAGTCAGACTCAGGACTAAAGGAGCAGAGGCTAAACCTGATGCTGGGGATGCTGCTCTTTACAGACAGCTCTTCATATATCTGGAGCAGCTACAAGATCTAGTCAGACTTATGACTCAAGGAGCAGAAGCGAAAGCTGATACTGGGTACGCTGCTCTTTACAGACAGCTCTTCATATATCTGGAGCAGCTGCAAGATCTAGTCAGACTTAGAACTCAAGGAGCAGAAGCTAGAGCTGATACTGGGGACTCTGCTCTTTACAGACAGCTCTTGATATATCTGGAGCAACTACAAGATCTAGTCAGACTTAGGACTCAAGGAGCAGAAGCTAGAGCTGATACTGGGGACGTTGCTCTTTACAGACAGCTGTTCATATATTTGGAGCAGCTACAAGATCTAGTCAGACTTAGAACTCTAGGAGCAGAAGCTAGAGCTGATACTGGGGACGCTGCTCTTTACAGACAGCTCTTCATATATCTGGAGCAGCTACAAGATCTAGTCAGACTTAGGACTCAAGGAGCAGAAGCTAAAGCTGATACAGGGGACGCGGATGAATAAATTTTTACATTTTACTCCAAACCCCTGGGAGCAATTCCAAAACCATGGGAGCAATTCCAAAACCCTGAGAGCATCCACCCCTCCCTCGCTCACGTGGCTTCAGATGTAAAAATAAAAAAATTTCAATCTCTAGAAAAAAATACTTTTTTGAGATAATCACACTGATTGAAAACTTATCTTTGATTTATAATGGTGTAATAAATACTGCATGGGATTGTCGCAAAAGAGGATTTTTAAAAGCATTTTTTAATCTTATTAAATTTTTAAAACATTTATTTTATTTTCAATAATGATTTTATATTTTTTAGTTTGACATTTTGTTCAGAGTAAGTTTGACCTACCGGGTAAAGAGTGCGCACAAACTGAAGTTAACTGACCGTCAGCTACTTCAATGGATGTGTCCTATTCTACTCATTATGATCATATACCTGGCCACCTGGTCTATCAGGTACTTTACTTTATACCTGGCCACCTGGTCTATCATGTACTTTTCTTTATACTTGGCCACCTGGTCTATCATGTACTTTTCTTTATATTTGGCCACCTGGTCTATCATGTACTTTTCTTTATATTTGGCCACCTGGTCTATCATGTATTTTTCTTTATACTTGGCCACCTGGTCTATCATGTACTTTTCTTTATATTTGGCCACCTGGTCTATCATGCACTTTTCTTTATATTTGGCCACCTGGTCTATTAGGTACTTTTCTTTATACCTGGCCACCTGGTCTAACAGGTACAGGTACTTAGCTTTCTACTATGTACATTTGCTTTACTACTTAGCTATACCTGGTCTATTAGTACTTTTACTATATGTAGATACCTGGTCTATCAGGTACTTTACTAGGCCCAGCTACTTGGGTCTATTAGTACTTTTAGAATACTTAGCTATCTGGTCTATTAGGTACTTTTATTACACCTAGCTGCCTAGTCTATTAGTAATATTAATATACCTGGCCACCTGGTCTTTTAGTACTTTTACTATACCTAGCTACGTGGTCTATTAGGTACTTTTTCCTAAACCTGGATACCTGGTCTAATAGGTGATTTTATCATCTAACTACCTATTCTATTAGATAATACTTTTACTAAACCTAGCTCCATGCTCTATTAGGTGCTTTTTTAAGGCACTTTACCTTTAAGTAGATGTCTGCCTAATCCATTTAATACTTTTACTTCAGATTCATAACTGTTATTCATCAAATTTTATTAGCTCCGCTAGAAGATAATATGCTTCTAATTTTGTCAGGAGATGACATTTATCTGTGAGGAAAAGATACCTCTAATCAATTTTTCTTTGAACTGATTTCAATATTCGAAAATACTAATTTAATCTTTTGATCATTATCATGACCTGAAAGAAAAAATATCTAGTTTAAGTTAATAAAATCTGTAATGCTTAATAAGTAAAGAAAACATGTTCAATCAAAAAGGCAAAACAAATTGTATTTTTTAAAAATATTTAAGTTCTCCTCCAAATGGGATTGAGATCAGTGTGGAACGAGGGGAGAAGTTTAAGATCTGTGAATATAACTGGTGGGATCATTCTCTAGCTCTAGGTACACAGATACACAGATACACAGATACACGGATAAACAGATACACAGATACACGGATACACGGATACACGGATGCATATGGGTAAAGAGATAAACGGATACACGAATACACTGATACACGGATACACAGATACACGGATACACGGATACACGGATACACGGATACACGGATACACGGATACACGGATACATATGGGTAAAGGGATAAACGGATACACGAATACACCGACCCATGGATACACAGATACACGGATACATGGATACACAGATACACGGATACACGGATACACGGATACACGGATACACAGATACACGGATACACGGATACACGGATACATATGGGTAAAGGGATAAACGGATACACGAATACACTGATACACGGATACACAGATATAAAGATACACAGATGCACGGATACACGGAAACACGGATACACGGATATACAGATACACAGATGCACGGATACACAGATACACGGATACACAGACATATGGATACACAGACACATAGATACACATATACACGGATACGTGGATATGCGGATACATGGATACACAGATACACGGTTATGCGGATACAGGTATACAATAAACATTAATACAGGGATAAATGGATACACTGACACATGGATACACTGACGGATACACTGAAACATGGATACACTGACACATGGATACACTGACACATGGATACACAAACACACGGATAAATAGATACACGGACAAACGGACACATGGATACACGGAAAAGTGAATACACAGATAAGCGAATATGCAGATATACGTGGATAAATCGATACACCGGCACACAGATATAAGGATACAAGGATACTAGGATACACGGTTACACATTACACGAATACCATGATACACAAATACTGAACAATTTTTTAATAATTAAAGTGACAAATTGTATTTAATTTGAGTCAAGAGAGAAACTAGGGATTTTATCCCCCTTCCATCATTAACCCCCTCCCCCCCGAAAAAAAAATCAATTTTATTCTAATAGCAAATCAAAGCTTGGGCGGTGTTGTCTACATAACCTCTCGATCGAATATTGACATATTGAATGAATTGATTAAATTACACTCATTCCCTTCTTGTTTATTTAAGATAATAATGTAAGCGTAATATTATTGAAGGCTTATTTACGATATTGTTTATATCAAATTATTTAATGCAGGAGAACTGGTTTTTCTACTGTGGGGAGTTAAGGTAAATCAACAAAGAATTTTCTCAATATTACAATATTGATCTGCATATTTCTAAAAAATTATCTTTAAATGAAAAACTAACACAAAGTTACTCCATTTTTTTTCTGGCAAAATTTTTTTAACATGTTAACATCACGCATGCGCATTCGAATTATTAATTTTTTTGTGTGTCTTTTTTTAAAGATATGTTTCTGCGTGAGGAAAGCCCGAACGTATTTTGACGAAGCCAAGCTGATATCGTGGAGTATTTACAATATCGCCATTGTCAACATTGTCATGGCCAGCTTACAGTAAGTTCAATGAAGAATAGGCTAATAGCTACAGTGCCTTAAAAATGACCTTGTTTTTTAACTTGAATATTTTTTTCCTCGATAAAATATTTTTCCAAAATACACTTTTACTGTAGTGCTAGTTAGAGTTCGATCATATAAAATTCATGAATTAGAAAAATAGTTTTGCATTTTTATGTTTTTTAATACTTTAAACAGAAAAAATGAAACCATTATGTATTTCATGTTCATTTAATTAATAAACTGAACAATTACTTTATCATTTAGGTCACATCATTTTTACATAAAGTTCAGAATAGGAGAGAATTAACAATATAGAAACAATAAATATTTTTATTTCATCTTAAACATAAAATATTTTCTACAAAAGTTTCCTCTTGGAAAGTAATGCATTCTTTATTATGGCTGGAAAAGTCTAGATATATGCAATTAGAATGTGTTTGATTAGTTAAGAACTGACTTGTTCTAAATAATTGCTTATGTTCAATGTTCATAAATTTTAATTCTTTCTAAGATTTGATTTTTTTTTGAATCAACATTAATTGCAATGAACATATTCCTGAAATTGTTTAGATCATTTAAAAGCAGATTAGATTTCTTTGAAAATATTAAGGATTTTTTTATTTGACTTATTTTTAAAAAAGATAATTTGTTTAAAAACTATCTATACCAAATTATATTGATTTATATTTGTGTGTGAAAAGACATCTTAATAATAACAATAATAAAATCAATGAAATTAATGGATTCATATATTGTAAGTGGGACTCCAAATGCAAAACACAGAAAATCTGCCAAAAAATTTTTTTGTGTTTAATAATTCAATGATCGAATCATGATTAGAAGAAGGGGTACGAAGCGCTCTGAATTCCTAGTATTTTAAATCTATAATCTATCTAGCACATTGATACTGCCCCGAGCTGGACCTGATGTCAAATATTTTCTTGGATTTGTCCGAACCCAGCTGAGTACTACAGCTACACTTATCCTCGTATTCGGACCAAAGGTAAATAAAACTCATAAAACAGTATATTTAACTCAAGGTTTGACTTCAAGAACTAAAATTTTAAGTCGACTTTATCTGGTTCTTTTTCTTGACTTTTTGACCAGTTTTCTTACCACAATTGATCTGAAGAAAACCGAAAGAAAAGTTGGGTTTAGGGGAGAGAGTTGACCAAAAAAATGTCTTCATTTATTATTTCTAAAAATCAATCTGAGGCCGAATTTAAAGAATTTGAGCCGTGGCTTTAATTTAAGCCGCGGCTAAAATATGGTGGGTTCCACTTTAAATTGTATAAAAAATTTTCAAGATTTAAGACGGCGCTCAATTGAAACCGGTTTTTGGAGGATTTGAGACTCGGCGGATTTAATACATTAAATTCGGATACCAAAAAATTCGCAAAAAAATCGATTTTATAAGTAGAAAGAAATTTAAACACCGATTTTGACTTTGCGTACAGAAAAATATATGCGTTTAAAGTTTTCAAGTTTTCATTGTATCATGCGTCAACTTCGGAAACTGATCAAAGTCATATTAATAAATTTCAATGGAATATTGTTTCAAAAATTTAACAAAAAAGTTTGTAAATACCTTAACATTAAGATCAATTGATTTATAAAACATGTTGAATTAAATTTTAAGTGGAACCAATCATATTTTAGCCGCGTTTCAAATGTAAGCCGTGGCTCAAATTCTTTAATTCTGCCTCTGAATGGTCTATCACTAAACATGTATATTAAGCCCATGCAAGAAAAACCACAAACCGTTTCTTATATCTCTCTAAGTTTCATTTTTCATCGACCAAAAATAGTACCTCTAAGTATTTGTTTTAAAAAGAAATGTTTCTAGAAAATTTGAAAAAAAATGTTTTAGAAAAGTTTTGATCGTGATTTTTGTTACCAAATTCTTTTGAAATCGACTAATTAAAAGTATAGTTTTCACTTTACAGAATTCTTTAACTTTTTTATTTGATATTTTTCAAATAAAATGTTGAAATCAATCAACTAGTGAAGATGACGGATAAAACATGAACCGAAAGAGGAGAGAGATGGTGGTTTTATTTATTTGTCTTAGAAAAGAATATTAACCAATCTCTAAGTTGTTTTATTTATAAATACTAATAGCAATTTTACCTTCACAAGTCGCCATTTAATTTTTCCCGGACAAAATGTTTTAATTTAGCAACTTTATCGTTTAATGGTTTTTCTTATAAATCTTGCCTTTCAAGCCACCAATTATTTTTCGTCCATCAAGAACATAAACTTTCGCAAGTTTTTATGTTTAAATTAATGAATTTAGAAAAATTTTTAAAATCATTAATTTCTCAGTAATTTTTTTTAATTTTTATTGGCTGAAACCTTCCTTGCAAAAATATCATAAGATCAAATGCCAAATGGTCAAATGCCAAATGATTAAATGCCAAATGATCAAATGCCGAATTATACAGTACAAACGCAGTACATTTCAATTGGGTCTAAAAGCTAGAAATGTAAACAAATCTGGGTAAAATAATATAAACTGATCGTACTGCATTTTTTATCTTAAAACCGGTTAAATTTCCACAACAAACTATCAACAAACTATCAAGAGAAGAAAGAGAAGAAAGAAAAGAAAGATAGAAAAGAGATAAAAGAGAGAAAAGAGAGAAAAGAGAGAAAAGAGAGAAAAGAGAGAAAAGAGAGAAAAGAGAGAAAAGAGAGAAAAGAGAGAAAAGAGAGAAAAGGGAGAAAAGAGAAGAAAGAGAAGAAAGAGAAGAAAGAGAAGAAAGAGAAGAAAGAGAAGAAAGAGAAGAAAGAGAAGAAAGAGAAGAAAGAGAAGAAAGAGAAGAAAAGAAGAAAGAGAAGAAAGAGAAGAAAGAAAAGAAAGAAAAGAAAGAAAAGAAAGAAAGAAAAGAAAGAGAAGAAAGAGAAGAAAGAGAAGAAAGAGAAGAATTAGAGAAAAATGAGAAAGAAGAGAAGAAAGAGAAGAAAGAGAAGAAATATTTATGCATACCCTAAAATCATTTCTATATCATTTCTATTTCTTCAATATTTTTGAAAAAGTAAGTAGCTGCCCCCACTGTTCAGCGTACACTTTTTTGATCATTTCAAGAGTTTTGATTATTTGGCATTTGATCTTTTGATATTTTTCCACATTCCTAGTTGCTATTTTTAGTTTGCCCGAGTGATTCGAGGGAAAGGAAATGATAGTGGAGAATCGGGTCGGGGAACTACGTCTATTGTAAGTAAACTATCAAGTAATCATGAAATTGTTTTTTGAATTATTAATATCTATATGTATGCTATTATTCCTATCAGGTTGGAGTACCGTATCATAAAAATGACCAGATGGACTTGTATCAGGAGAATGAAGAACTGAAGGAAGAAGTTCAGAAACTGGCAGCAAAGGTGAACACGGATAGAGGGGTTACCCCCTCCCCTCCCACTCGGTAAAAATAGAAACATGAAAAACGGCCACTTGTTGCATATACTACCCATTCAGGGGTTAAGTTTTACAATTTTTAAGAAATACTCTAACTTTTAGCCTAAATATAAATGTTATGAATTTAGTCTGTTTTTGAAGGTTTTGTATTTCGTATCCAAATATCCCTGAAAACAAAAGTTTGTTTATTAGTCGTGTACTCCAGTTGTATAAACAGATCTTTGTACTATCTTATTTGATATCTCTGGCTTACACAAATGACAAAATGCAAGTTAAAGTGAACAGAAGAAAAAACTTCTATATTCCCTCTTTCTATGTATAAAAGTTAAACACACAGTTAGAAACCTGTCACTTTATCAATCAGGAACTGGTTAAAGGGGGAATATTAAATAATCAAATATTAAGGTTGAGTTCTTTAAAATACTTGGTATGATGGCAGATAACAGACATCTTACTCCAGGGAAACAATCAACATACTTTCCACAAGAATTTCTAGATATACAGGTAAATNACACTGGACACTAGTAGACACTAGACACTAGTAGACACCTAGATATACAGGTTAATATATTCCTAGATAAACAGGTTAATATGTTTCTAGATATACAGATTTTTTCTCTTCCGTCTTTTTTCCCTGAACTGTTGAAAACATCATTATTAATTACTGTTTTTTTTATCAAGATGAAACAGTATAAACAAAACATAATTTCAAACTCGTTGCTGTCCCGTACCTCGTGTCTAAACTGTTCTACAAATACAAATACTGGAAACAAAAGGTAAAAATATTTTATTTTGTGAATAAAATATAAAATTGCCATTTTTGACACACAATTTGAATTTACGTCATAATATGCGCCTATTCGACTAAAAATAATTAAATCAATAGTCGGATTCATTTCTGTTTTTATTTACTGAATATAGTTCTTGAAAGCAATAAATCTGATTTTTATGGATGTTATTTTAGAACTGCTTCAATTAGGCGGGGAGGAAATCAAACTTTAAACCGGACCGGAACTAGGCCCGGATCTGGAAACGGAACTAGGACCGGAACCGGATTCGAGGCTGAAACTAGCGGACAAATTCGGCAACTGAAAAAACAGGAAAGTGTGAGGAACTAGATGATTTAAATTTTGACTAATTTAGTATGTTTTTTTTCATATAATTTAATTATAATACAACCATCTTTCTTCATACATCATTAAAAATATATTTTAAGATTTTGCAGATTTATCTGTCTTCATTTGTGGATTTTCATTAAAACTTAAGTCTAATTTTTAGGAGGCATATTTTTATCATTGAGTCATGGGAAGTCCTTCAAAAAATATAATATAATAATATAATCGGTGAGCCATTTATACGTTTATTGGATGCAACCAAACCCAGGCAGAAAATGCCGCAAATAAAAATTAATATCAGGATACTGGATACACGTTTATTAATTTATTCATATTGGGATACAGGATAAATGTACATGTAAAGGGCTACAGAAAAGCACAAGTGAGTTAAAGCGGTAAATCTAAGCCCAAGGTGTTGCGACACTTCTGAGTCGACCCTGTCTTAAGAATTGATGAGACTGTTTATTAGCAGATGGAATCTGTGTGGATACAAGTTTATTAATTTTTTCTTACTAGGATTGCAGGATATAAATTTATTATTAATAGGTTACTGGATACACGTTTATTTATTTCTTCTTTTTAGGATGCAGGATACAAGTTTATTAATATATAATTATTAAGAAACTGGATACACGTTCATTAATTTATTCTTACTAGGATACAGGATACAAGTTTATTAATTTATTATTGTTAGGATACAGGCTACAGTCTTATTAATTTATTCTTATTATAGGATACAGGATACAAGTTTATCAATGGTAGAGTTGAAAGATCACTTGCAGCCGTGCTTACTGAAAATTCAGTAGGGAAGAGACATATAAAAACTGATGACAAAAAATTAATGTTTGGCTACTTCGTATATCTGAGCAAATAACAAAATTTCTTTATCGTTATCTATAAATGCGACAAAATCTCATCTGTTGTGGTTAACACCGTATCTTAAAAGTATTGTGAGTAATGTATTACTTCTATTTCGCTCAATCAAATTTTGATATCTCTGTTGCTTCAGATTTCTCAGATAATCGTCAGTTCCTGGATCAAGTCTCAGAGCCACAAAATGTGTAATGGATCAAATGAATGTTAAATGTATGCAAATAGATAAATTAAATCTAGTTTGTAATAGTCTGGGACAAGAATTCTCTGACTCGTTAGAAGAAGATATTTCAAGTAGACCCAGGACAGTGGGTGGCCTCTAAACTGAATGGGACCCGGAACCCCGCCCCCCCCCCCCTCTGCATCTGCAGGAAACTTTATTGTAGTTTGGACAAAATCGCTGTAAGTGTTATTTAATGTCATCAATATGAAACTTTTTATTCTGTAATATAAAAAAATTTTAATTTAAAAAATTTCTCACGAAAACTTCTAATATCTAATGAAAGGCTTGAATCAAATATAAATGTTAAATGTTAATATCTGTATTTAATTAAATAAATAAAAACATTTCAAAGTTCTGCGAAATCTATTGTTTGCCACGAACTTCGGGTTGTATACTACAGAGCTGGAAACCTTTGTGTTTGATCCCGATATCCACACTGGGCATTTTTTTAATTTTAAGCAGAATCTGCTGGAAACCCTTGATTTTGGATATCCCAACTTTCTCAGTTCGCTCATACATTGGTTTAACGTAAAACTCTTTTGATTGGCTGTTTAAGGGAAACGGATTGGCACTTCACAAGCTATCTAATAAAGATTAAATTAATCTGTAGATTAACAAAAGATCGAGATCAAGCAATAATCTCAATATCCACCATTTTAAGAGTTCCCATCTCAGGTTATATCAATTTACTCTATAATGAACTTTACAAAATGACAAATAGGGTTGACTCAAATTCACTGGATTAATACTTTTTTATCTTCCTGGACAACTTGGATCCGGCTCCGTAAAAAAACCAATCCTTTTTTAAAGAAAAATTAATCAAATTCATATGCGAAGAAAGGTTTCGATTAGTGTTTCAAGAAAAATCTGTAAAAATCTGTACGGAAAAATTGGACTTTTAAGAATATTTGTATGTCACAATCTTTATGACGTGAATACTTATTACTAACTGATGATGTGAAATTTGAGTATTGTATTTTAAACATTTCTCAAAAAATGTCTAAAATTCTATAGTTAGAATTTTCTGAAATTATGATTCAAATGTTTTAATGAAGTGTGAGTAGCCCTGGTTTATTAATACTTGTGTTTAATTAAACTACTGGTGAGTAGTTTTCCCTTCATTCCTTACAGTTCCTCTTCAATACTCAGTCAGTAGACACTAGACACTAGTAGACACTAAACACTATTAGACACTAGACACTAGTAGACGCTATAGACACTAGTAGACACTAGATACTAGACACTAGTAGACACTAGACACTAGTAGACACTAGACACTAGTAGACACTAGACATATAGTAAACACTAGTAGACACTTGACACTAGTAGACACAAGACACAAGTAGACACTAGACACTAGTAGATACTAGACACTATTAGACACTAGACACTACACACTAGTAGACACTAGACACTAGACACTAGTAGACACTAGTAGACACTAGACACTAGTAGACACTGGACACTTGTAGACACTAGACACTAGTAGACACCTATACACTAGTAGAAACTAGACACTAGACACTAGTAGACGCTAGAAACTAGTAGACACAAGACACTAGTAGACACTAGACACTAGCAGACACTAGACACTAGTAGACACTAGACACTAGTAGACACTAAACACTAGTAGACACTAGACACTAGTAGACACTAGACACTAGTTATAGACACCAGACACTAGTAGACACTAGTAGACTAGTAGACTATAGAGGAGCCTGAATATCTAAGGTTTGCTCCTAATATTATTTGAATTTAATAATTATTCATTTTTAATAGATATAATTGATAATAATATTAATATCACGTGACCAGAACTCAATGGCAGTGCAGTATCATTGTCCTTATTAAATTCGAATAATGAAAGAGAAAAAGTTTTTCAGGCTCCGCTGGGATATTGTTGTTTTCAGATTGGTTGCGTATTTGCTGAATATGATCTGTTTAAACCTACAATTTTATACAAAATTTTATATATATAAATTTTCGTATAACTTTTTATTTTAATTTCTCGAGACAGGTCTCGATCAACTCCGAAATGCTTAGGTTTCCGCTTATACCCCCCTTACAGTCCATTTAAAGACAAAATGCTCGGTGAAGAGGATGAGGATGATATTGAAGACAAAGAGGAGGAAATTCTGGTAGAAGAGGTAGAACGAGTTTTACATTTTCCTTCTTTGTTATTTGATTCAGATGTGGTCATAAAGCAACCTTTTTTTTGCCTCAAACTCAACCGTTATTAAATCATATGTTTTTCGTAAACCGTGTTGATTTCAAATGTTTGAACAAGTAGTCAAAGTTTGAAAGATTACTCCATCAGGTTGCAAAGATGCAATAATTTTTTTTTGCTTCTGGCGAGTAATCACCTGATGATTATGTTTGTAGTAAAACGAATTTATAGAGTTCGGACAAGACTGATCCAATTTAAATCTGGTTTTCGTATATTTAAACTTACATATTTTGTCGTTTCGTTAGCCTGTATTTATAAAAATCAAGTTTGGTATATATTGTCTCACATCAGGTTTTACCAAGAGTGTGTTTAAAACAAAGGGACTAGGGAAATATTATGGATATAATAATAGAATGTAATTTATTCGTATTCTAATGTGACGTTTTAGGACAGCTTTTATTATAAGCAAATAGCATTAAGTACAATATTGTCCGGGCCCAGGAACATTTATAACTTTGTTTACAATCTTCGTTCTTGTTTTTACAAATGTGTAAATTATAAATGTTTTTAAATGTATCTCTCTACTCAAAGGGTGAAATGGCAAGGAATAGATCCAAATTACTTAAAACTACAACGATGCATTTTTTGACTGAAATATTTTAAGTCATATTTTAATCTCTAATTCAAAATTCGTCAAAATTAGCGTAAGAGACCTCGTATGCTTTTTATTTGATATAAATAACCCAAAAAAAGTATAAAATGGCAAATACAAATATATATACATTTTTTTGGTAAACACATGGGTGTACTGATTTTTAAATAATGCAGCCTTTTAATTTCCCGTGGATTGAGCTGTATAGTGTACATAATGTAGAAAAGAGCTTCAGTTTCTGAGAACCATGTTAATCTTATATTTTCTGAAATGAATAAAGAAATGAAAACACATGAAAGAGCTCTTATCTGATTAGCTGGTAAATTCATACATCCTGGATATTTTGCTTTAACAGTTAATTAAATATAGATTTTCATTATACTTTATATTCTGGTTGAGTTTTTAAAAAATGGTTGTTTTAGGTAGAAAAATATCTAAAATGAAAGGAATTAATTGGAAAAGTGTTTAGGGTATTTAGAGGAAACATCAAATATTTTTCCTTTAAGGAAAGTTCTCTATGTATTTAAAATATCTTTACTTTTTTAATGCGCAATATCAGATATTTCTACACTGTATTTCCGCCGTCCGAAAGCGTACTTCCTCATTCGCTCACGATGTACTGTTAAATTTACCCTAGTGCCTTATAACTGGATTTTCTTTTCTTATTAACGAATTTTCACAACCGTACTACGTGTATTATATCGTGATATACCAAACCGGCTTTTTAAAATACGAAATACCTACGAGGAGGAGGGATGCTTTTGGATGGCGGAATTACAGTGTAGTAAAGAATGCCAAAATTACTCCGAGTAATAGAACTTCAATCTTTTTTGTTAATCATATCAAAAATGAAAAGCTCTGCCAAATATTTTAAATAAATATTTTGCTATTTATTTATAAAGTAAAGGATAGCCAGTACGTCACCAGAAAAGAGATTAAAATTTCATCTGAATAAATGCTGACATTATTCTTGTGGATTCGAAGATTTCAACATTATGTAATTATTGCAATATTTTAGTCTAAGATGGCCAGATAAAAAATAGTTTTATCTTCAAGAATTTGCCACGATGAAAACAAAATAATGGAAGGACGGAGATTTCGAGATGGCTCGGCCATGTACGTAGACTAAGTTGAACCAGTTCTATTAAACTGCAACGGTCTTCTACTTTCAATTACTGCTCACTTTTCATTAAATCTGCACCCCGTAAATGGATTGTAACCCTTTTCTTCAAGCATTCCCAAAATTAACGGTTGCCTTAATATTGAAAGTTTACTTAATCTATTTATTAAAGCTTAGATGACGAACAAACCGAGCTAAAAATAGAAAATTCAGTTTACTTAAAATCATTTATTTTCTACACAACAAAACATTAAGTTAATAACTATAAAAAGTTGATTTTATTTTACATAAAACCTAAACATCTTGAAATCTATAATGACTTGGTACATATCACCCCAAACTAACCAAAGTGAGAATCATTTAGTATTTTTTATTTGAAATAAAACGTGTTTTGGTCTATGATTCAACAATCTTTAAACTTACAGTTTGTTTATTTATACTTTTTCATTCAAAACGTATATACCGACAAAAAATTACCTAAGAAAAAGGGTTAAAAAATTATGTATAATGGGTCAAATTGTGATCGAAAGTCACAGCTTTCTGAAATATTGACAGAACCGTTAAATCCACGTGATATATGAAAGAATGTTCCGTATTCACTTAACATGTTCCGTATTCACTTAACATGTTCCGTATTCACTTAACATGTTCCGTATTCACTTAACATGTTCCGTATTCACTTAACATGTTCCGTATACACTTAACATGTTCCGTTGCCTTTTATTTGACGATATTAGGCTGATGAACTCGCTAAAAGAAAGGGAAGTGTGAAGAAGGAAAATGAAGAAAACAAGGTTAAGAAAAGACGAGGACGACAATCTATAGGAGAGCACCGAGCACTACGTAAGTTTTAAACTTCAATCCGTTTACTTCCCTTTTATACTGCACTTTTTGCTTGTTGGGAATTTCATTTTTTGTAAGTCATTAAGACTGCATTTACCATTATATTGAATTGAAAATACAAGGACAGATAAAATATTAAAAGAAGAATTTAATAAACTGTTTCCAGGGACTTTAGACATTGTTTCAAGTGCCCGTAGTGTAATACGTTATATACCTGATTCACTACGGTACACTGCAGACACTTAGAAAGGTGTCTTTTTTCTGTTTTAAATAATGACAAGATATAATTTCTCTGTTTTTTTTTATTGTTTCTGCAGCTTTAATCCACTATCAGTCAATTTTATACAGAACCTCCTTGGACATAATCAATTTTCAATTTAAAAAAAGAGGGGGATAACTCCATCATTTTGGCTCCAACCAATATCTATGGGGTGCCATTGTGAATCGGACGTTTGCCACTTTATAAATTGAGGGACGCCTATATCTGTACATTCTCTACAGGATTCTTAGCATTGTGAAATGATAGAAGAGTCATGTTTAAAAAAGCACAGGCTAAAAAAATAATTTTCGACAAATTTGGTATACCAACTCCCCTTATTTTGTAATATTTTATTCTCTATATCTATATCTGTTTCCAAACTAGTAGTTTCTAAAGTAAGAAATATTGATGTTCCTAAAACTACTTTAGATGTTCTGAATATGACGAGGAAGATGATGGAAGGAACAGATGTACTTTCACTTATCTCTCATCAATATACAAAGGAATACAATTCTTAACATTTTATTCTTATTCCTGTAACAAAATTTATTTCTAACTTGCAACCCCCGGAAGTTTTTTTAGAAAAGAAGAATGATATTGATATTTAGAGACTCCATTGCATAGGTAAATAAAAAAAACAATTTAAACTATACTTCATCAGCATGTCTTACCCAGGGGTCTGATCTCAAATGGGATTGGGGTTGAAAGTACATTTAGGGGCATGAAAGTACACTTTATATGTCATTGTGAACTTTGACAAGTTTTTGTGTACGTGTACTACACTTTAGAAATGTGTACTGCATTTGGGGTGTTAAAAGATGTAAATATTAGTGTTTCTTGTAAGAGATAAATTATGATATACAGAAAAATAAACACTTCCTTGCAGTAAACATTCTGCAGTATGGAATTTTTTCTACAACTTGACATTATACTTCCAATTGTTTACAAATAACAACATGGTTTATTTCTGTCCCTAATATCAATCAACCAACATTTGGGATTGATCAGATGGAATTATATGGACAACTACAGTTTTTTTCAAAAAAAGTCCCTCCATGAGGCAGTAGGGTCATTTTCCACTTGTTTTGCGCCCAAATGGTCTCGATCTGTTGATATAAAGTCCCTTGAGTTTCTGGTCGGATGATGGATTAGTTTGCAGTACTCTACCTCAAGAAACCAGTTTTATTTTGTGTACTGCGTCTATTCCATTGGTACAGTTCTGCCCAGTGTGACTTAAACTAGCAAATGAGAAACATATACTTGAGCCATTTCCGTTATCAAAATTGCAGCCGTTGTTGATCAATTGAAAGTGTTGTTTATTTTTCAGGGATAACGTTTTGTTTTAAATGAATAAGTCTGAGTACTTGTCAGGATTTTGCTTGTCACATTGAGGTATTTGCAAAGAGAAAGGAAAAAAAGACCTCCCTATTAATTATTTAATAGAGTGGTCGGTTGTGTACATTACAATATGCTTACCTATCTAACACTGTACGCTTGTATATAGAGTCATCATATTCCTAAGAGTGATTTTATGGAATTGAGAATTCAAGGATGTTGACTGTAAACATTTGACAATTTTCAATATCTCCATTTTAACACCCCCAAGAAATACGATTACTCTATATACAAGTGTACAGTGTTAGATACGTAAACATATCGTGATGTACACAACCGACCGCTCTATTAATTAATTAATAAGAAGGTAGGTTGTGTACATCTGAGCTAAGATTTACCTCTTTGCTTTCTTTCTCTATGGGTATTTGTATCAGGGTTTTACGCTATATTTTATGTATTTTATGGGGTTGACCAAATCACATTTGATTTGTCTTGTTTTAGTCTATTAAGATCTATCCTAAGATTGCACATAGTTCATTTTATTCTTATCGTATTAAAATATATTTCATGTTTATGATATTTAAATAAAGATGTTCTTTCTATCTTTAGATTGAACTATGGAAACAGATTTCTTGTGTTTACTCAGAGCGAATGAATAGAGTAGAATCAACCCAGCAGAATCATGACAATTGATTGATCAGTAGAGCGGCCGGCTTATGTCATTTTATATTCAATCTCAATACTCTTGGAGTTGGAAACCCTTTTTCTTGAGTATTAATCTACAATGCCATTGGGGCTTAATCAATTACAGGGAGGGGGGAGAAGATGTTCAGCCTCAGAAAGTGATGGAGATGTTATGAGCAGTACCTTGAACCAAGCTGATCCCGTTAAAATAAATAAATTATCAAGTGTCAACAACAATAGATGCATCTCTACTCCTCATATTTAGACGTCCTTCTAATAACTATTTGAACCCAATGTACCCACTGAGATAGCTTTCCTATTCAGAGGAGCTCCTGATCCTATTGGTTACACCAATAATCCCCTAATCCAAAAAGTTTTCCATTTTCCAGGAGTTTTCCTGTTCCCAGGAGTTGTCCTGTTCCAAAGAGTTGTCCTGTTTCAAAGAGTTGTCCTGTTTCAAAGAGTTGTTCTGTTTCCAGAAACTGTTCTGTTTCCAGGAGCTGTTCTGTTTCCTGGAGCTGTCCTGTTTCCAGGATCTGTCCTGTTTCCAGGAGCTGTTCTGTGTCCAGGAGCTGTCCTGTTCCCAGGGAGTAGGGTTTCTGTGTTCTGAAAAAATAAGTGATCCCAAGAATGAGGGTGATCCTAATAATAAAGGTGATTCTGAGTTGAATGGCGATCCTTTCTGTTCCCAGGAGTTGTCTTGTTTTAGAGAGTTGTCCTGTTCCCCAGAGTTGTCCTGTTCCCCAGAGTTGTCCTGTTCCCCAGAGTTGTCTTGTTCCTAGGAGCTCTCCTGCTCCAAGGGAGTAGGGCTCCTGTGTCCTAAAGTGATGAATGATCCCAAGAATAAAGTTGATCCTGAGTTGAATGGAAATCCTTTCTGTTCACAGGAGTTGTTCTGTTTCCGAGAGTTGTCCTGTTCCCCTGAGTTGTCCTGTTCCCCTGAGTTGTCCTGTTCACAGGAATTGTCATTTCCCCGAATTTTAAGATGATGGGTGATCCGAAGATGATGGGTTATCCTAAGATGATTGGTGATCCTAGGAATAATGGAGATTCTAAGAATAATGGAGATCCTAAGATTAATGGGATCCTAAGAATAAAGGTGATCCTAAGAATAATAGTGATCCTAAGAATAATGGTGATCCAAGGAATAATGGTGATCCTAAGTATAACGGCGATCCTAAGATAAATGCCAATCCTAAGAATAATGGTGATACTAAGAATAATGGTGATCCTAAGAATAATGGTGATCCTAGGAATAATGGTGGTCCTAAGTATAACGGCAATCCTAAGATAATTGCCGATCCTAAGAATAATAGTGATACTAAGAATAATGGCGATCCAAAAAATAATGGAGATCCTAAGAATAATGGAGATCCTAAGAATAATGGTGATCCTAAGAATAATGGTGATCCTAAGAATAATGGTGATCCTAAGTATAACGGCGATCCTAAGAGTAATGGAGATCATAAGAATAATGGCGATCCTCAGAATAACAGAGATCCTAAGAATAATGGAGATCCAAAGAATAATGGAGAACCTACGAGTAATTAATGGTGAACCTAAGAATAATGGTGATCCTAAGATGATTGGTGATCCGAAGAATAATGGAGATCCAAAAATAGTGGATATCCTAAGAATAAAGGTGATCCTAAGAATATTGGTGAGCCTAAGAATAATTGAGATCCTAAGATGATTGGTGATTCTAAGAATAATGGTGATCTTAAGAATAATGGAGATCCTAAAAATAATGGTGATCATAAGAATAATGGAGATCCTACGAATAATGGAGATCCTAAGAATAATGGAGATCCTAAGAATAATGGTGAACCTAAGAATAATGGTGAATGGTGATCCTAAGAATAATGGTGATCCTTAGAATAATGGAGATCCTTAGAATAATGGAGATCCTACGAATAATGGAGATCCTAAGAATAACTGTGATCCTAAGAATAATTGTGATCTTAAGAATAACAGTCATCTGTCAAATATTTACGCACCTAAACTGCCATTTAAATTAGAAATCCTTCTAAAAAAGTTCTGCTTTTTCAGAAATACAGTGTAAAATGATTATTTTGATAATAATTATATTTAATAAAAGTATTTACAGTGAAATGCATTTAGCGGAAGAATGCAATCATACTTTATAATTGTTTATTTCATTAAAGCCAAAGAAACCCCCAAAACATAATAAACTAAGAACGTAAATAACAGTTAAACTTTTCTGTAAATAAAATTATCAAAACAAAATAATTTAGTATGCCACAATAACTTCTATATTAAACTTAATATTCATCTGGATTCGACGTAAAGGAACTGGTTACTGAATACTCTCCTCATACTCTAACTTTTAAATCCTTTTATCTGTTCTATCTAATGTCATAATAATCAAGTCCTCTATGGATCAAGTAAAAAACTATGATAAAAGGTTAGGTAAGTTTTATAATATTTAGAGATGGAACGTGTTGAAAATATGAAAAAGGAAAAAAAGAAGGAGTTGAAAGAAGAGAGAAGAGAGGATAAGCCGAAGAAACGAAGAAAAGAGAAGGAGGAGGAGGAGGAGGAGGAAGTAGAAATAGAATCCTGCACAGCCAAGGTATTATAAGAGGAGAGTAATCGGTATCACGGTTATTGTGTGTACTATTACTGTAATTAACACCAAGCGCCAACAAATTATTCGGATTTGAATTTTTATAAATACTCTCACGATAACAATTAAAATAATGTTTTGTTTAATATTTTGGAATATTTATGTAATGTTTCGTAAGAAAAACATTCTTCTGTATTTTCTTCTTCTTTTTACTTGTATTTCCCCTGATTTTCCTCCTAGTTGTACTGGTCTAGTGTTCTAATATTCTGGTGCAGATATTATAAACTTCTTTTCATATTTTCAGACTCTTAACGACTTGAGGGAGGTGAACGAAGCATATCAGGTCATAATTCAACTGCAGTAATATTACAGAAATAGTGTTAGTAAGAAGTTAAAAATATAAAGTAGTTATCTCTGTTTATTTTTTTGTTGTTGTTTGTATGTTCGATCATAACTCTTGTACCCCTGGAACGATTTGCCTCAAATTTTGATTAGGAAACTTGGGAGAACTTGGGAGTAAATATGAGTAACATGAGGTGCACCGAGCAATTCAGCTAGTTCATAATATTGATAATTATAATAGTAATAATATAATAATAATAATAATAATAATAATAATAATAATAATAATAATAATAATAATAATAATAATAATAATAATAATAATAATAATAATAATAATAATAATGTAGTTTGTTACAATTACATTATCATGTATTTACTTAAATTCAATGAAATAAGGCATTCAACAAGCTTTATTTTAGCCAAAAATTATTAACATTTTCCTTAATCTTGGGAAATGAAAAATATGGCAGAAAAGATTTCGATCACATTGCAGTGGTTCTCCTCTAACCGTTAAGGCCAACAACAACAATTTCTCGTCCGAGTGAACAAGTGAAAATTTTTATGGACATAGAACTTCAAAACTTTAATTCAATAAAAACTATATTTTTGATGTACAAAAATTCAATATTTCATTTATGCCCAAAGTCGCCAGATTCTTAAAAAAAATTTATCTATAACGATTGGACACTTCGAAGTGGCTTGGACGAGAAAATGAGAAGAATGTGGCTCGGACGAGAAATAGTTCCTCCCCTCCTTTAACACTGCCAGAGTTAGTGGCAATCAAAACTTTTCAACTACTGCATTCTCATCAAAACATTTAGATATCAACTACAAAACATGCAAATATTTATTTACGTTAGTAAACAGATAGTTAAACTAATCATTTAACTTTTTGAATTAAGTTTTACTGGATGTCAAAATCCCAAACTATGAAAATATTACAAAATTTTGAAATTTTAAATGGATAAAATGGCCATTACATTTATTTTCAATGTGAAAAATTGATCAAATAAACCTGTTTTGTTTCAGTTTTTTCGTAAAAAGTTTCAAAACACCGCAATAGAAGAAGAGACAAGAGGTAAATTCCATCAAATTAGTTTTATTTTTTTTCAAATATTAATTTTGTGTGTTTAAAAACTGATTAATACAGATTCTCAGTGATTTCTCATAACCACAGGGGAATCACTGATTACTACAGATGATTACTGATTACTAAAGATGACCACTTATAACTACAGAAGTATAGATGACCACTGATACTACAAATGATTACTGATAACTACAGATTGTCTCATAATATAACTACATAACAACCTGCTAAGCATTTATTAAAAATTGTTAAACGAAAGAATAAAATATGTTAAAAAATGTTAGATTTCTATTTAATATATATATATTTTAGTATATCTTCTGAAAACTACTGACTCGCCTACATAGTTGTTGACTTTTAAAAAAGTCAATACGATAAAATAAAAGAGATCTAACGGTATTTCTAATCTTTATTTATTAAAACAAAAGGTTATGAAATATTTTCCCAAGTGGGGCTTAAATTGATTGGTTTAGAAATTAATAAAGAAACTATAGACGAATATCAGTTAGAAGGTGTTTGTAGTTGAGACGGAGTTGTGAATCTCGTGAGTGTTTTCCGCTGACTGACTGGTGAAGCGGGAGCTAGGTTGAGCGGAGATTTGACATGTGGGGTGTGTTGTATGGCGGAAAAGGATTCTGTGTATTCAGTGTACACACACATCCAGGGAATTGACATCGGCATTTGAGTCGGAACAATCGTCTTCCTTATATTTCGAATTTGTTTTAACAATAGTACATACCTCTACATTCTACATTATTAGTATTATTATACAAACGAAGAATATTTAGATCATTAGAAATCCGTCAATTAATCAGTGTTATAACCAAACATATTAGTAAACATAGTCTACACTCTACACACTGTATTTCCACTAGCCTAAGATTTCCTCATAAGTATCTCTGATTTAAACAAAGAGAATAGAATATATATTAGAGTGGAATTTACTAGAAAAAAGTGGAAAACTGCCATTTTGTTGTACTGTTTATTCAATGAAATAAGGCATTCAACAAGCTTTATTTTAGCCAAAAATTATTAACATTTTCCTAAATCTTGGGAAATGAAGAATATGACAGAAAAGATTTCGATCACATTGCAGAGGTTCTCCTCTAACCGTTAAGGCCAACAACAACAATTTCTCGTCCGAGTGAACAAGCTGGTTTCATAATTGACCAATGATCATTTCACATAGACTCTATGCCTTTTACTTTACAAACAATGATTTTCCGTTATAGCTATAAATCAAATGATGGTTTTTATTCACCTAATTCATTTTATAAAGTTTATTTAACAGCTTTAAAAAAATCAAAATTGAAATGGATAGATACTGTATTAATGTACTCTACTGCATATCATTTGTGAACATTTACATGATTTGTAAACTTTGAACTGACAAAATTCATAACGAGGGATTGTATAAATTCCACTCTAATATGTATTCTATTCTCTTTGGATTTAAATTTTATACATTGAGTACACGACATACTGCACATGAAGTATGGTGGTTAACATTCTTATCAAGGAAGGAACGGTTCTGTTTTATGGTAATTAGGCCATTAGACAGTACCTTTACGATATACTGTCAAATGACCTTAGTTATAGAGAAATAAATCAGAAATAAACTGCTTTTTTGAAATCAGAAATACTTGTGAGGAAGGCGGGAAGGCGGCCGAACCGCCGGCGGAAATTTGGTGCATACTCATATTCATTAGTATCTTTCCTATATCCACCAATGTTTACCTTTGAGAGCTCTTACTTTTCATAACATTCGTTTGGTTCAATCAACTAATAATTATTTTTCTGCCCTCCTTTCTTAATATTATCTAAGGTAAAAAGGCAAGAAAAATATATAAAGGAGCTGAACACTGAACACAAACTCTAATTTTCAAGTCTCTATATTTTCGCAACCTATTGATTCATGTAAAGACAAGATGAAATGTTTTTTTGTTCATAAATAAACTCATGTTTTAATTCTACGTCTTCCCAGATCGGACCACTGGGATTAATAAATAATAAATTGTGAGAAGTAGTTGAACTATGTAGACTAATTCAATCTGCACTTCTCTTGTGATCCAGTTCAAACTACCGCAAGAGAAGTGGTTCCGCTTGCTGGAGTGTACGCAGTTCAACTACTTCGCGCTTTGCATGAAATAAGCCCTTTTAGGAGGAGTTGAAACCCTGAAAGGAAAGGATCTAATATCGAAAAAGTTAAACATGTCCGGAGCAGAAAATGATAAAGTAGAAAAAGAAAGTAAAGTGACGAGCGAAACAGAAGAGAAAATGGAATTCGGAAAACTGAAAGATCCACACACAGTATTTCATGTGAATGAAGAAACATTTGAAGACAAAGAAGCAAGTGAGGTTCAAAAACTCGAGGACGAAAGAACTCAGAGAATAAAAAACGAAGAAAATGAGAAAGAAGACGACAATAATATTGTACATCTTGTTCAGCATAAACTAGAGGGGATGGTTGTACAACAAAAGAATTCTCGGTAAATATTATCATTTTTGTAACATTTACAAAGAATATGTATAATGGCAGTGCATTATCGTTGTCAAGTGATACAGACGGAAATCACGCGTCCAGTAGGTATCGTTCAACTCCTGAGATTCTTAGGTTTCAGCCTATACCCTCTTTCATCTTTCCTGTACAGTCCCTTTAAGAATTAATATTGTACATAAAAACTAAAACGTCGCACGATTTGAATAAACAAAAACAAGATCTGATAATGTAAAATAAAAAGTTGAATCGTTTGTGGCCAATTCTGAGGGTGGTATCACAACATATTATGTTAACAGTCTCTTTATTTTAGAGAAAGAAGAATAAAAGAACGAAGCAAACTTTATGAGTTTCATCTGAGAAAACAAAGAAAAAAATGAAAACAAGGAGGAATAAAGCAGAAGAAGAAGCCAAGAAAAATACATACAGTGAAACCCTTAATAAAGAATACATCGAAAGAATTCATCAAATGTCGTATTCTTCACTTTCTGAAAATGGAATGTTGCAGATATTTAGTTTTTTAATTAAATGATTATATGGAACTCTTTAAAACTGTTCCCGCATATTCATGGCTATTTATTTATTTTCGCAAATACTGAAATTTACGTAATATAGTATAAAACTCATTGAAAAATTGTCAAGACGACATTTGATAAATTCTTCCGATGTATTCGNGGGGGGGGGGGAGGGATTAACCTCACCAAGAAGCAAAAGATATGTTGTTGAGTGCACTTTTTTAAATCAAATCTAAAGAAAATCTAAGAAATGGGATTTATATTTCCTTAATATAAAGTCTTTCTGTAAAATCTTCTTGTGTAGTTGTTTAAAGGAAGTGTTCGCGAAAAAAGGGGGTATACGGCGAAAAATAAGCGCTTTTGATGACTAGTAATCTTACTCCTCTCTCATACCGTAAAACGTAGCGTCCATACAAATTCGGAAAGTTGCAACACTTAACTCGGATCGTAAAAAAATCAATTTAATTTCAAATAAATATTACAAACAATAGTTATCGATTATTTTTGACGCATTCGCATATAGTTAACATTTCATAATATTTTTATTTTGTTTTTTTAAATAACATTTCGCTGGCGCTAGATTTTCGAACATTCCTAGAAAATATGAAAATGTCGTCTTTATTATCAAAAATCTTCGAAACAAGAAAAAATATTTTTAAAAGTAACTCAGATCATGAAAAATAAAAAATATGCGAATGCGCCGAAAAATAATCTATTACTATTTGTTGTAATATCTGAATGATTTGTTTGGAATTAGATTGATTTGTTTACGATGCGAGTCCAATTTTTCAACTTTCTGAATTTGTATGGACGTTAATACGTTCTTCTGTATAAGTCATTTTTTTAAACTATTTTCTCCTTATAGACCTAACAGATAAAAGTAGCAATCAAAAGCGTTTTTTTTTCACAGTAAGCCAATACTTCATTTCATTTTTCGCGAACACTCCCTTTAAATAGTATAATTTTTTTCATTTTTATTTGTAAAAAGCAATATTACAAGTAAAATCTCAGAAAACAATGAATTTTTAAATAAGGCATTCATTTAAAGATATTATGCCTATTTAAATATGTCCTGATGATCTCAAAATTAAGTGCCAAAATCAAAACGTGGAGTTCATTTTTAACTAAGATCATCATGAAATATTTGGAATTCTGTTTATTTCATATGAACGGCCTTATTATAATATTACCAACTAGAAATTCAAGGCGCTTCGCGCCCTTCTTTCTAGCCTTAGAGGGTGCTTCGCGCCCATCTTCTAAATTAGTTGTGAACATGTTCTCTTTGTGTACATCGTAAAACAAAACAAAAATAATTCGCGGATTTTTACAAAAAATTTCGCGGATTTTCAAAATTTTTAAAAATTTAATGACGATCGAATTTTGATAGAGACAAATATTTGAAATTTTATTTTTTCATAAACCTTCCCTGGGGTCCCTAGATGTCCGACAAAAAATTTGGGCCCGATCGATTCAGCCGTTTTGACGTTTATTGGATACAAACAAACAGACAGACAGACAGACAAGCCAAATTTATATATAGATTAACTTTGAAATAATTGAAAATTTATTTCGTGTGTCGTCGTTACACGTAAGTCATGCAAACGCAGTGCATGACATTGTTGAGCGATATGATAGCCTTCGTTCATCAGATTTAAATTAAAGGTACTCTAAGTAATCTTTTAAAGAACTAAACAAACCCTTGTATAATGCGATAATTCACGTTCAAATATTTATTTTCATATTTAAGTCAATCAACAATCATGTATCTAGATATTCAAATGAATAAATTATTAAATCTATTATATAATAAAGCTCTTCGCTCATATATCTATATATATTTACTTCAATTATTAATATTTAATTCAATTATTTAGATTTAATAATATTATTATTCAGTTTAAAATGAAAACAATAATGTTTTTCAAAGACTTTAATGACTTTTTGCGTTTTTTGTATTTCAACGTCAAATACATTTCCAATTTGTATCTCAAGTAACATTATAAGAAAGATATGAGAAGGAGGGAGGGGCAGAGGGAGGGAGGGGGTGGTTTCCTGGAACTGATTTGAAATTATATCATACAAATCTGTTCTGGTCAACAATTAATAATTGTTCCAAGATCCAGTTGATTTATATGTTATAAACATATAAATGTACAATTTATAAGTATATATTGTATCTATAGCAGAACATCAGCTTTGTCTAATCAATAATGCATAATATATCCACGATTTTTTTCAATTGATTGTAATCACTTGTAAGTTGTAATATCTCTTTGATTGTCACTTGCAGATTTCTGCCCCAGAAACAATTTAGGAAATTGTTGGAATGAAACAATTTTCAAGCAATATTTTTTATTTTATTGATCATGCAGATAACGGTTTAAAGGTTACTCTCTTCTCATTAGAAATTACAACGACAGTCCCTTTAAGTTAAATCATCTGGCAGAAGACGACCTCCTGTAGTACCTTAAATCTTAAATCTGAGGGAGTACATATTCAGATCCTTTTACTTTGTATACGATGTAGATTTCCTTCGGTGGACTGTTCAGATGCTTTCTGTAAAAACAGACACCACTGTTTGTTAGTTGGTACCAACCATATTACCTAAAGGAATTGAGTCTTTGCCTCAAGCACAGATTTATTAATCCTAAAATCTTTAAAACTTGATGGTGTAACCTGTGATACTTTAAACTTAATTTATATGTTCCAGCATAATTCATAGTTTGAAATATCTAAGGTCTGCGACATTGGGTTGAAAAAATCAGAGTTTGTTGCAAAGACTCAATTCCTGTGTCAACAACCCCTTTGAAACTTTAGTGTCTACCTTTCCTTTTATTTGATAAAAGGTGTAATGTATGTTTTTATTGTAAAATATTCACTAGTTTCAATATATTGAGAGAAGTCTTTGGCTATAGGAAACTTACTGAGCATAGCTCTTCCTCATCAAATGATTAGTTTGTGGATTTTGATTAGCTTATGAAACACTAAATTTTTAATCTTGTTTATCTAACCTTTCATCTCCTCCACAAACTCCTTCCACCAAACCAAACCAATATCCCCCGACCCCCCACCAACCCATCCCTGTCATTTCTTACCCTGCGATTGTTCCTCCATCCCTTCTCTTCTTTTTCGCCCATCCTGTCCTTTCTTCTTACCTCTCTGAACTCTCCCACATTTCTTCTCCTCCTGTCCTCTTAAAACTTTTATCCCAATTTCCTTCCGCTCCTTCCCTCCCCCTTCTATTGCTTCTATTGCTATCCTTTTCCTTTCCTCCCCTTCCTTTCCTAACCTTTTCCTTCTCTCCCCTAACATTTCCTATCCATTTCCTTCCCTTTTATTTCATTTCCTATCATTTTCCTTCTATTTCTATGATGTTCCTACCCTCCCCCTGTCTTTCTTTTCCTTTTCCTTCCTTCCACTTTCTCCCCACCTTCCCCCCTCTATTTCCAAATCCCTTCCTTTCTCCCAACTATCCCTTTCTTCTATTCTTTTCGGTCCGCTTCTTCCTTTCTCCCACCTATCCCTTTCTTCTATTCTTTTCGGTCCGCTTCTTCCTTTCTCCCACCTATCCCTTTCTTCTATTCTTTTCGGTCCGCTTCTTCCTTTCTCCCACCTATCCCTTTCTTCTATTCTTTTCGGTCCGCTTCTTCCTTTCTCCCACCTATCCCTTTCTTCTATTCTTTTCGGTCCGCTTCTTCTGTTCTGTTAAACATTCTTCCTTTCATTCAAAACTATACCCCCTGGTTTTATGGCTTTATTAGGTCACCTTAATTTTCTTATCTTTATTTATTATAATTATATGATTAAATAAAGCAAGATAGAATCACGAGGATTAAAAATTGACACGAATCCGCAGATGGTTTCAACCAATTGTATTTATTCATTTTAAAAGAGAAAAAATTTAGTTTTCGTATTCAATTTACCCTTGTCTATTCAGGAACAGTTAAGACTTTACGCAGACAAATACCTTATACAATAAAACGATGTTTGTCAAAATTTATATCTTTACAAAAATGGAAGAATTTTAAAATGAACATGAAAAAATCCAAGGAGAGTATGAATGGACAAGTTAGAAGAAGTATTTGCAATAAGAGTGACTAAGGAAAGTGCACGAGAGTGTCTACAGGAAAAAAATGTGTTTTATACAATCATAAAGCTTGTCATAGTTTTTTTTTGGTTCGTTAGCTGTTTTCTTTGGTTTTCATGTTTTAAAAAATACAATATGTTTCGAAATTGTAGTAGCTGATGTCAGATTACCAGCTGATCGTATAAAGCATGCGTCCTACTCTCGTGTAACATCCTGGCTTGTCCCGAAAGGAGTAATCTGAAAAATATTAAATCTATACTTATCCTGATATTTCTTTCGTCCTATTTTTTCTTCAATATTCTTTAGTCCTTCTACAATCTAATCTAATGAACAATTTTTTATTTTAAATCCCAAAATATATATATTTTTGTGTTGGTTGCAAAGGGTCTCACATAATATAGTTAACAAAATGTATCCCTTGGTTAACAAATATTTTCGTTTGTAAACACGGAAATTATTTGATAATTTTCGAAAGCTTTCGTTCCTCGCAGAACTTTGGCCAACTCTAGCACTTTATACCATAAAAAATACTAATTGTATGTACTATATGCTAAACAAATACTAATTGTATGTACTATATGCTATACAAATACTAATTGTATGTACTATATGCAATAAAAAATACTAATTGTATGTACTATATGATTTAAAAAGATCAATGTTCTGTAGTGAGTTCTGTACTATAAAACGAGATCAAAGCTATGTAAAATAAGTACTTTAAACAAGATAAATTGTTCGTAAGCACTATCAAGAGTCGTTACTATATTCTTTAAACACGACCATTGCATTATCTGTATTATGTACTGTAAACATAATAAAAGTTCTGTACATGTACTATAAAACAAGAACAAAGGTCTGTACTCTGTACTATGTACTACTATAAACAAGTCCTATGTTTTGTACCTTCTGCACTCCAAGCCAAGGGGGAAGTACTCTCTCTCCCTTCAGCTGCATGCCCTGGAAATAATTTTTGATAAGCTTGTATAATTGATTTGATGCCAAATTTATCCTAAAACTAATCTATGTATTAATTATATGCTCAATGAAAATGAGTAAGTTAGAAATAGAAATTTATGATTTATTTGTCAGGAAAGTTAAATTTTAAATGGTTTTTACTGCAGTGATAACCATAAAACTCTGAAATAGAAAGAGTACTTTTAGACTCAAGGTATGACTATTGAACATGAGACACAGCGGTGTAAATAGTCCCGTTTTAGTTAGGTTAGGTTTTAGTTAATGAGTGTTTGAATAAGTAACTTGTTAAACTTTGTAACACAATAAAACACACGTTTAGTTTTCTGATTTTCACTGTATCAAATACAAGATAAATTATTAAATAATCGATAAAGAAACTACACGAGCAACGACTGAAACCAAAAAAAGAACTGATGTATCCTTGATAATAATGGAAAATGAACCCCTGTAAATCCGGTGAAATATCCCCCCTGTATGTACACCAACCTCAAGTTTGTTAATGGTGGATCTGTACTCGCTAGTCTCCTCCATGGGTAAATGAGGCTGGATCTCAGAATCGTGGTCAACTAACTACAAGAAATTCAAATATAAAACCCGGAATTAAAAATAAAGAAAATAATTAAACTGAATAAAACCGTGTCGTAAATGATCCACAAAGGTATCTTTTCAACTGTTTAAAGGTCTCTAGAACCGTAGACGTAATTTCAACTGAATCTAAATTTGAGAGTGGCATGTACGATTTACAACTCTACCCTAAAAAATTTTTATCTGATCATAAATGGTATCGTTGTAAATAAGGCATGACCCTTTTAAAGCTAAATCTATAGGTAGCTAGAAAATCTAACCTTGTGGAGAATTATCCAATATCAGAGTAGAAAAATTACCTTATGTATGATGGGACGTTTAGCGTGTAAATCTTTATAAGTAGCCTGGACCTCACTATCCTTCTCTATTTCACCTTCCATCTAGAAATATATAAAGTGAGAACCAATCTCGTGTTTCCAGCATCACATGGTGATATTCAATCACTATATAGGATGTACAGTAGCAACGGTAAATGTGCAGTCAACTGTTTGCAAAACCTTGCCGCGGCGTGTAGAAAGTGTTCATATTTGTGTCTAACCAGAAATTATTATTATTACTTTACAGAAACATATTCATGCGGTCTAGAGCTAACTTTAGACCTTCATCTTCAAGCATAAAACTAAAATAGATGATACGCAGACAACAAAGAACGAATCAGGGTGACTCACATTGGATGATATCTAGTTCAGTATTTCTACTTCATATATGGTTTTAACGCGCTTAAATAATTTCTTTACCCATTCATATATTATAAGCACCCAAAACCGTTCTATGCAAAAGATCCAATAAAAAAATTAGATGTTTGTACCCAGAGGGTCCAATACTTTGTGGGTAACCCTGAAGATAAAGTCATACCAGTATATTCACGATACAAACTGCTAACTTGAAGGTTGCTGGGGTAAAGGGGAGGTGGTATAAAAATTAGATACGTTGAGGGTTAATAGAATAGAAAGTGTATATCTGAAGATACACTTCACCTTTCATTAATTTCCCCGCAATAAATCACCTATATGGACAGGAGAAGGGAAGCGTTAAAGCTGGACTATCAAGGTTTTCTGAGAGTTGCGTTCCCGATACATAACGGTATCCGCATTTATCTGAGAAACTATGAGAACAAAATCTTAAGTTTTCTGTCTTAAGACGCGTTGAATTGTATCTGTCAATTCCACCATTAAAAGATAATCAGTTTACAGATAGAAGAACAAGAATATCTTTGCCATTTATCTATTTTTCATTTGTGAATCAGGTAGGCCCCTATTTAACTGGAGGATTTTAAGCATATTATATTGGATTATCTCCAAACTTTAACGCCCAAATACACAAAGAATATTCAAAGAACCATGCATTTTCTGCATGCGAATTTTTACATTGATCTTATACAATATTTAAAAATGATTCAATCTTTTGAAATTTTCTGACTAGTCTCGAAAATCCCAATTTAAAACTAAATGTGAGTGATCCAGTATGCTGTGGTGCAGGTGCACCCTGTAGATAAATGAAAATAAAAAATTAAACCCCTGTTGATCTAGTCCTTCAAGCCTTGTTTATAAGAAAACCTGCTCTTTCCTGACAATCAAGGTCTCAATCCGTTACAATTGTTTGTCTTTATTGCCGTAAAATTGATAAATCATTACATGTTTTCCTTTGTTTTGAAACAATTGGAACCAGCTTGACATTTAAAGCGTTGCTAAGATACTTTTCCATGATCAATTCAGATGAACAAAAAGCTAATTTGGCGGTACATCGAGTTCAAAAGTATATTTCTGTAAACATTAAAATGTAAAATATGTAAGCAGACAAAACTCGTGAGTTTCCCTTTTTGCGTCTATACATATTTGTGTATATTTTAATCTAAAAAGTTGAAATATAGGAGAAAATAAAACCAACCATGAAAATTATTTCTTTAAAAAATTTCAATATGCACAAAATCACCGTTTTTAAAACCAGAGTTTATATCTCACGATACATTATCAGAAAACTATCAGAGAAATAATTTAATAACAATTTGTGTTAAACCTCTAAAACTAATGATAGATTTGAGGAGAAAAATACGAACCTTGAGTGTATCAGCAATCCTGTTGCAGATTGGTCGCTTTGCGTGTAGATCCTTAATTATCATTAATTAGTCCTCATCACTTTTAATTTAATTTAATTCATTAATAAATGTTACAAAACTTTGTTAATTGTTCTGTGCCTAGTTAATTGGCGCTGTAATTAGTTTGATTATTATGTCCCTCATTTGGTTTTTTTAACACCAATCGAGGCTTGACTTAACTTTCCTTTATTAACACTTGTTATGCAAACAAAAAAAATAAGGTTCCTATCCTGTTATATTCCTTGGATTTGGTAAAATATGTAAGATCAGTTTCATCCTTAGATCTAATACTCATTTTTTTTAAAACTTATTTTAATTGCTCATTGAGTTAAAACAATAGAGGGGTTGTATATGAATAGAAAATGTACAAAATTACATTTTTAATTTTTTTTTTGGTATTTTGCGCCACTGATTTTTATGCACATCAAAAGCAATTGAAAGCTTTAAAACTCTCTTTTAAAGAACTTCAACTTGATTTTGAGTTTTAGTTAAACTTAAACAAAATACAGGTATAACGAAGTAAAAAGGTGTCAATATAACTTTCAACGTAGGGTCATTAAAAGTAACGTTGATGCATTGATACTAGCAAATTCAGCCTAAAAAATAAAGCAAATACAAAGCAAAGTTTTTAAGGTTTTCAAATTTAGAAATAATTAAACGCTGCCAAGCTTATCTCCTCCGTTATTAAAGTTTTAACTTTTTTATTAAATGCCATTGTCAAGTTTTAACTAAAGACAGCGTTAAATGTATTTTTTAATAAATGCTAAAAATATCTAAATTTTACTATTAAGTTGTGACTTGTGTGTCAAGTTTAAACTAGATCAATCCTTATTTAAAAGTTTAATCTACCTTGTAGTGTGATCAAGTTTAATCTACCTTGTAGTGAGATCAAGTTTAATCTACCTTGTAGTGTGATCAAGTTTAATGTACCTTGTAGTGAAATCAAGTTTAATCTACCTTGTAGTGAGATCAAGTTTAATCTACCTTGTAGTGAGATCAAGTCTACCTTGTAGTGTGATCAAGTTTAATCTACCTTGTAGTGAGATCAAGTTTAATCTACCTTGTAGTGAGATCAAGTTTAATCTACCTTGTAGTGAGATCAAGTTTAATCTACCTTGTAGTGAGATCAAGTTTAATCTACCTTGTAGTGAGATTGTGACTCAGTATCTTTCACCAGATCCTCCTCCCAGTCAGGGACAGATGCCTGAATAGTTTTAGATGAATAAAATGATATAATAATAATAGTAATCAAAATATGATAATTATAATAACGATAATATATTTAACCATATAAGAAATTAGTATAATAATTATAATAATAATAATATTAATATCATGATAATCATAATATATTTAAGCAGATCCTCTATCTCCCCAGTCAGGAACAGAAGCCTTGATAGTTTTAATATTAATTTATATCGATAAAATAGTATAAGAATGATAAATATAATATTAATAATTATATTAATCATAAAATATTTTAGATCCTCCTCCAAGCCAGGGACAGAAGCCTGAATAGTATCATATTTAAAAAAATAATAGTAATAATCTTAATAATGATATTATCCTTAACTTTATAATTGTAAAATTATGAAACATAAATGGTTAACCACAAAGGATGAGACTTAGATACAGACCTGAAATTCTATAAATATAAAAATTTGGCCTTCTGTGTTAGAAATAATCATACAACCTTTATTTCTCTGAATGTTATTGTTTCGGTAAAGAGAATTTGACATTACCGTTTCCCAAAGACTTCAAAAATTTCCCTTGATGTCTGAGCAGCCTGACACTCTGCTAAAGGCAGGAATTCGTTTTATATTCTCTTAGCAGCGATATCGGATAGAAAAGTATTTAAAGTTGAGTTTGATCACTTAAGATCAACCTTGATCTTTGGGCGCCGCCTTCCTAACAATTTTGGCAACCTTGCGTGAATATACTATTCCAGGCTAGGTTAGGTTCAGATAGATAGATAGTCACACTACAGTGATAACCAGAATACAAAACAATAGGAAGACGACATTGTAGCAATACTCAAGTGTATTTGATGTTTTACAAAGCAAATAGTTTTACTATTAACTTATCAAATCACTAATTTAGTGAAATGGGTTTGTTAGCAATTCACAATTTCTGTTTATCATACTCATTGGACTTTTCAAAGTTATAAATTTATTCTAAAAGTCGTCTTTCTATTCCAGAATTTTCTAGTTATCACTGTAGGTGACCTAGAAGATTATGGGTGCCCCGCATGCACGGCTATTTCACTCAGATTTTACCGATCTTTGATATAAAGAAAATTTAAAAACGTGAATTATATTTTGAAAATTTTTTAAATTTTTGTCAATCTGATCCACTCCAGATCTAAAATCTCTGTTGGTTTTCCAGTAAGAGAACAGGTATTACAAATTTCAAATCTCAGAGTAAGGGAAATATAATACATTATATGAGAAGTTTACACGTAGAATGAAGAAAATGTTTATGCAGGGGACTCCCTGTAAAAGCAAGAACCAGGTGAGGGAGGACGGAAGACCGGAAGGGGGGAGACAGGAACAAGGGGGGGTCCAGTAAAGGGGGTAAGAAGTGCAGGTTAAGGGAGCAGATGTAAAAGGGGGATGAATGTGTTTCTGGTTGGCTGGTTTGGTATCCTCTAGAATGAAGCCAGGCATTTTAATGTCTTTAAAAATAGTTTCTTCATTATTCACCATGGCATATAACCATAAAATGTTCAAAATAAACCTAGGGAGACGAAATTTCCATATTATTTCAACTATATCATTAGACATTGACGGAGAATTATAAAACTTCTTAATTTATTTCATATCTGTTGATATTGGTGACTTTTGTTCTTTTTTGTTCAGCCTTATTGCGTAATGCGTTGCAACCTTATTTTGCTTAAACTTTGAACCGTTTAAATTTCAATAGCTCATTTTTTACTATGGAATATATATATACAGAGATGGCAAAACTTTTGTGCTTATAAACTTCAGCTTCAGACGGCTCATTTATCCCCACAACGGTCCAACCTTATAGACATTTCTAAACCCCATTGGTGCCAAAAACTTTCAATTCAAAAGTTTTCAGCTCTCATGTACAAAAATGTTGCCCTTGCAGGTAATTCTTGAAACCAACAATGGAATGAAAATAAAAAAGCTTACATGGTAGGAATGTTCATGATCAGGGATCGGTTTAACAATATGCCCTCGGCCAATGTTCTTCACATCATACTGCCTGAAATGATAATAGTTATAAAATCGATAAATCAATTAATATTTCCAAAGAAAACATCCTTCTTAGAATAAATAATTGCATATATCATTCGTCTCCTTTGAAATGTATCTATTTGTCTTTTTTATGGTTATTGGTTGTTCACAATAACCATAAATAATGAGGATTTTTCATCAGGATGAGAAAAATGGTTTTAAAAGCAATGGCATGCCAAGATGAAATCTTAAGAAATAGGTTTAAACTGTCATTTACTGGGACGGGAAATTTTAAATGAGAGATAAATAATTTAATTAAATAAGACTGTTTTAACTAATTCTGTGAGGCTTTCCAGTAATATCATTGATTGAAACAAAACTGTTTTTTATTTTTTTATTTCTCTTCGAACGATTCATTCTTAACCTCATTCATAAATTTCCATCTTTTAAAATAACTGCATGAAAACTGAGGTTAAAATTTACCTTCTAACTTCTGACTTGTCCTCCATTGGTGTAGTTGACATGCCTAGTTCACTAGGCCGTCTATACATAGTCCGAACCTTAGGACCCTCTCTAAACAAACATTTTATAAGAAAACGGACTGTATACAGTAACGCATGTACACTGTCCAATTCACAATGGTACCTTAAAAAGCTTTGTCAATCCAATGTTTTTTTAAATTAATTAACTTTTACAGTTACAAGCACAGTATATTGTTAATTTCTGGCTAAAAATTTGATTATTTTTGTTAAAATTTATTTTTTACTTTCGAAAAGGAAGGTATTTTAGCGGTAAAATTGCAAGTTGTTAGCGAAATAATTGACGTTCTAATTTGTTATTATTGTAAAATATATAATTAAAGTTTGTGTAAAAGTTTAGCGAGGCTATCCGGGGTTAACACGCGTTCAATCCTTCATCAACAAAATTTCACAAATTTGAACAAGAAATAATTTGCCTAATTCGTTGTTAATCTATTTTTCCAAATGTTAATTTGAAACAATAATTACAAAATTTACAAAATTATGCTTTGTGCTCTTTGTTCTTTTACATTATATTAATACATAATAAGAATTTGGGTCCGGTTACTATTCATAAAATAAAAACAAAATCTCCGGAAATTTTAAAAGCAAAAAAGGGCAGACTACTTTTTGGAAATGCTAGGATTAGAGATATTTCAATTTACTTTGAAATTGGGATTGACGATTGAATGCCACAAATTATCTTTAAGATCAAAGACGACCGTTAAGTTATTTTTCAATAGTTTTGTTTCATTAGACATATTATGTATATATTTTGTATATATTATTTCTATATTCTGTATATATTCAAAATATTTTTAAGCTGGTTCAGTTTAGAGGTCAAAACTTTGTTGTAAGTAAAGACAATTTACAACGCTTGATATCGATATCCACTGTAGCAACTTTTTAATTTGAGTGACAAGCGCTGGATCCCTTATTTCTAGTTACCCCATGCAGCTTGGTTTCAACCACGGGATTTCCAGGAGAAATTAATCTAATCTCTGGAACTGGAAGAGATTCGGATAAACTAATTAATCCTAGGATTCTCGATTCAAATGTTTTTACCTCTGATCAGACTGCAATTTTAAGCAATAATTCGCGACAGATTTTGTCAATTATCAAAAGAAAGACATCCCAAATATAATTATACTTGAATATTTTCTAACGAGTTTGAGTTAATTTCTTCCCTGATAAATGAGTTTGTCATTTATCAGCTCAGGTTTTTAATCATGAAAGTGGCAATAACATTTATGATTTTTTCTTGAGGAATGTTTGTACATATATCAAAAAGAAATACAAAATATAGTTTAGTTTTCATAAAGCTTTACAATAATAAGATTAAAAAACATTTGTCTGATATATGCACCGGGGCAGTTTGCAATTTTGATTTTGACAAAAGAATTGAAATTAAGTTTAAAATGATGATTTTTAAAGTAAATCTAAATTAAACCGGATCCTTTAAGCTTGGATAAATATAGAAAAAATGTCCTTCATGGTTCGTGCCTCACAGACTAAGTACTTGTGGGGGGAAGGATGAA